AGGAGTCAAAGTGAAAAATGAAGTAGGTGGTGTTAAACCTGAAAGGAAAATGAGGCTGGGAAAAAGGTCTGTCAGCCAAGTTTACAGTTTGGAAATACCATGCCCATTTCAACATAAAGTATAATGGTCTTAGTTTCCCATTCAGAATTTTTAATGCAAACACAAGTGATTTTGTGTTCAAACACAAAACACGAGCCCTGCTGATTCAGTGCTCTGCCCTCTAACCACAGCATCTGTTTTGTGGTAAGTCTCAGGCTTCAATACACTTGTAGCAGGTTATTTGCATTTTCATAATCAAATCTTTTAGAAAATTTATTAACTATATTAAAATACACTCAGGTAATTGTAAGCAGGCAGAAAAACAGGGAGGAACATGTACAGGCAAAATTCTTTTTTTTTTGTTGTCTGTAACTTCATACAGAGATGCCATTTTGATACAAACTACTAATGATGAACTGTAAAATATGAAAGAAATGTAGTTTAAATTAGGTAAGCCAACTTTTGAAGCATTGAATAGGTTCAACTCTTGAACCAATTTCTAAGCCTATTCCTGATTCATGTAACTTGGATAGTTTTCATTGACTGAGTATAATTCCGTCAGCATTTTTTCTGCTGGCAGTGAAGTAACATTACTTTTTTCTCAAGGGTTAAAATTATCTGGATCACTTCACTGATCCATGTGGCACCATTGTGCTTAGACTGAGACCACTGTGGAGGATAGGGCACTGTGAAACAAAACTGGAAGAAGGGGTCAACTTATTAATGTGGCTTTGATCCTACAGAAGATTTTGTTGAAATACATTCTTAGTAGCAGAACCATTTTACAGCACCTGTGAATTACATTTTGATCTTTCTTTGTGCTGTTTTTTGCCATTAATTGGATCAAGTGAGATCTCCACTGAGAATTTCATTAGCTCGTAACTGCTCAAGTCCCATCACATCTACTTACGCTGCTTTTGTTAATGTGTTTGGTCACTGAGTGTGAGAAAAGCATCCTACTACTGTGTTCAGAATTCTCCCTGAACTCAGTGCAAATGTCACAGTGAAATACAGTGGACTGCAAGTATAACGTCTTCCTAAGAATTTGTTGAAGCATCTTTGGGAGACAGCATCAAAATGCTGTCTCATCACTCAAGTAACTTATAAAACTTGTGCACCCATAAGAAATTTCTAGTTCCCATTTTTTAAAATTAAGACTCTCTTAGATGTTGCTTTTGTTCCCCAGAAGTTAGTGCACTGAGCCTCACTGCCTCAAAAACTCCTGCTAAACACATTTAATGCTGCCTTGTTGTTCTCCTGTGGTCCAAGTAAATGGCAGTAAATTACTGGCAGAACGCTTTTTGAGAACGCTAAAAAATAAACCCCTCTCAAGTCTGAACACATGAGTTAGTTGCTTCTTTTCTAATACAGATTCAGAATGTAAAAACCAAGAACATATTTTTCAAAGATAAACAAATCCATTTCCTGATGACTCAAAGGATGACATGCAACTTCTCTTGACTCACAACAGTTTCACTGAATCCTACGTATTTTAGTTTCTCTTTAAAGAGCTTTATTCAGTGGCACAATTGATCTTGAAACACCCAAGTTCATGTGTTCTCAGAAAATGCAAAAATCAGCCAATCTATAGAGTGATTCAGTATTTATATTTTACTTTACAAGATTTTTATCATGTGTGTCTACTCTACTGCCATTCCCTCTATTCTTAGTAGGAAAAGTCACATAAATTTATTCTGCAATGGTTCACCATGGTGGAACATATATTTGCAACATTAATTAGAATTCATTTTCTTAATTAAACTAAGAAACAAATCCAACAGAAGAGAGACTAACAAAGCATACCAAACTGTAGATTTTGAAAATGTTACCGCTTCCTGCTCCATCCTGCTAAAATTGCAAAGTTCCAGAAGTCCAATCTACAACATAATTCTCCACAATTCAGTGTCCCATAATACTCAAGTCCAGTCTCTAACCATAGTTCCTCTCCCTCTAGTCTAAACAATGCAATCTCTAATGCTTTCACTAATGGATTTTTTAGCCAGTCCTATAATCCATACTATTTCCCAAAAGCACAATGAAAAAAGTTTTTGTCACTTGGGTTCAGTTGCTCTAAAAGGTTAAAAGGTAAACTCATCGCCTGGAACTAAAGTGTAATGTTACTTAAAAACATACGTATTTTATAATTTTCAGAAAACATTCCAATATCTGCCTCTGTAACAACAGTGAAACACTTAAAACTCCCAGAATAATACTTTTACTGGCACTTCTAGAAAACACCTGCCCCTTTGTGGGAGCTGTTCAGGTTATGTCCCAGCAGTAACTCTACCACCTTCTTCCATTTCCCAATGGCAAATTTCCACTGGTTACTGAGTGAAAGAAAAGCTCCTTTTAGAGTTGTTCCTCAGCTCGCCTTCATTAGACAATGTATGTGGCTGTTCAGTTTGCTCTCCCGTGAGACTCCAAGATGAAGGCATAAAGGAGCCTAGAGACCTCATGAGTAGCTTCTTGGAAGGGATTAGGCGGCAGGTCTGCAGAGCACCAGAAATCTGCAGGATCAAAGCCCCAGGGTTGGCTGCTCCTAAGTCTCTTGCCAACCAACTTTCTTGTTTAGGAAGTTGGTGTTACCAGGAGGTTCACAGCATGGCAGTTTGGTCCTCTGGATGTCCAGCAGACAGTCCTGCTGAGTGAAATGCGCTGTATTAATTCAGAAGAACCCATGATGCAGCGGTTCCATCTAGTTTCTCTGCTCTCACAGGCAACTCCACCACAGTTTAGTTAAAATCATCCCCAAGAACATTGCTTCTGTGCTATCCCTCTTTCCCCCTTCCACACAAGCCATGAATAATCTTCTCTCCTTATTAGCACCCCACCTACCTTCCCCTAATCCAAACACTGTTAACTTGAAAATATATTTGAGTAAGCATTACTACAAGAACCAGTTACTAAAAAATAATCAGGAAATGCATTAATTCAGCCTGTATCAACAACCACAAAAAAAACCCCTTAAGTGTTCAGCTGTTAACACATTGAAGATGGTGATACTCTAGTGGTCCAAATGACTTTCTTTCATCTCCAGTGCAGTGACTCAGAGGACACACTCTTTTTTTTCAGCACTCAAGCCAAAATGCACAACCTCGACTTCTTCTGATAGAGATTCATGTAGGAAAAAATTGTATATTGGAGCGAGGGTAGGGCTTTACACTGGGGAGCTCAGAGGGTAAAGGACAACTGAGGTGGCTGAGGAGGGCTGTTCACAGAAATGTATTAACACAAGAATTTTTACACATATGAAGAAGAACAGAGGAGTTCACAAGAGATGGATTCACGTGATGAAGCACAAATCTTCTTTGGGGTTATTAGACAGAGGTATGAGGAGGAAAGGCAAGCCTGGGTGCTAGGGATCGTTGTTGAGTAGAGGGCAAAAGGGAGATGCCACAGGGAAATAAAATTAGAGAGTTCCCAGTCAAGTTTTTGCTATTCACCAGAAGAGCACTTTTTTTTTCTAGAGAGCTCTTCTTTTTCCCTCCAGAGGCGACCAAAAGGCTGTGGAAAGTTACTGGTATAAGAAAAAGAGAGTAACTGATGAACAGTCCGATTGGAGAACTGGACTCTGTAGAAGTTAAGAATGGGTCCAGAGGAGGGTCACAAAACTGGTCAGAGGGCTGGAACACCTCTCCTGTGAGGACAGGCTGGAGGTGTTCAGCCTGGAAAATAGAAGGCTGCAAGGAGACCTTATTGGGGCCTTCCAATATATAAAGGGGGCTTATAAGAAAGATGGAGAAAAATTTCTTAGGAGGGTCTGTAGTGACAATACAAAGCAGAGGTTTTAAACTGCAAGAGGGTAGCTTTAGATTAGACAGAATAAAGAAATTCTATATGATGAGGGTGGTGAGACACTGGAACAGGTTGCCCAGAGAAGCTGTGGATGCCCCATCCCTGGAAGTGCTCAAGGCCACGCTGGATGGGGCTTTGAGCAACCTGGTCTGGTGGGAGGTGTCCCTGCCCATGGCAGAGGGTTGGATTAGATGGTCTTTGAAGATCCCTTCTAACCCAAAACCTTCTGTGATACTGTGATTCTAAGTACTAAGAAAGGTAAGTTTTTTAAAACAGAGGCAAGACAGAGCCTGGAGTAAGTTTTGGTGGGGAAGAGACTCTAAATGCTTATTTCCAGCTCTCATAATTAGTAAACTCATTGCATCATCCAAACTTTTATCTTTTACAACTGCACCTTACAAACATAGGCAGCTGCATGGTGTTTAGATGCCAGCTGGGGTTAAAACATGACACTTCACGACAAAAACATTTCAGAATTTAACCATGGAAAGAATGGTAGCTCATTTCTCATTTGGGATGCTGTCCTGGGTTATCTGCACATTGGCAAAGGCCACATTCATTTATAGAAGACTAAAAAAAATCACACTTTTTCAATTATCATTGAGAAATCAATTCTGGAATAGACCAAAACTTGTGATTATGTCACAATTTTAAACATGAACAAATTAATTATTTATCTGGTAATATTTAAAACAGATAATTAATTCTTAATATCTCAAGTCTGTATTTCAAAAGAAAAAAAAAATCCTTTGTTCAACCATGCTTTTCAAACCTAAAACTGATCCGTAATGAATCAAATAATCATTTCCACATATACATTATTGCATTATATAACATGAAGATCTGTGATCAGGGTTCATTACAATACATATTTCTATGTAGTGTTTTAAAAAGCAAAAAAATGGTAACTTAAATTTTATAATGAATTATTACATTTTCAAATTCATAGGCCAGAAAGTAGTAAGCATGGAAACAAAGGGTTAGTAGCAACAAAGTTTAGCAAACAGCAAGGTACTGCAGCCATCACAAATCCCACAGACTGATATAATTGACAATACTACATTGTATAATAAAAGTGTGAAAGATCCACAAACTCTTTGTAATCATATACATTGCTTTAGGTCTGTAATCCGTCAATCCGTATAAAACACTAACAAAGTGATAGGTTATTGCAATTGTTTTCTGTAATATAAAGTTACAATTTATTTTTAAAAATACAGCCAAAATAGAATTTACCAATTTAGCCAGGTTTCAAGACATTTACAGTGATTTTTTTTTTTTTAATGCGACAGCAAAACAACTACAGTGACATTGAAATGCTTACACTGAAACCGAGGTACCAGCAAACTGCGAAGGCTGAACAAAATGAACGGACAGGTTTCAAAATGAACAGATTGACTTTCACTGACACTGAAGATCCCACAGCTGTATGGACAGGTAAGTTTCTAACAGCAGAAAGTATTGCAATGAATGTACTTCGGACGACGGTTTAAAAGAGAACATTATTTGCAGCAGGAACTTTACCAGTATGAAACACGCAACCTAAACCCATGTATCTATGTACAACACATACTTTAATGAAAAATGTTTGAACTAGTAAGCTTATTATGTGTAACATTGCTCCCATCTTTAGATGACAGGATTCTAAAATGTATAAAATTGTTTTTCCTTTCATGTCATTCATATTAAAACGATTTTTCTTGCTTTTAAGATTGAAAATTTTAAAGCTGTTGAAATGAAACTTGTCCTTTCATTGGCAAAGAGACATTTTTTTGGCTAGTAAATGCCACAGTTTGGTTAAATCCTGATTGGGTATGAAAATTGTCAGACTGCTGAAGATCAAAAAGTTGAAAAATAAATTAAAGGAGAAAGGAAGGGGTCAGAAAAATAATGAGATATTTTAACATCTGTGGTGGAGCGAGTTTCAAGATTCACATTTTTGTTAGCTGATTACAGCATGAAAGAAACCAGTAATATTAGGCAGCCTTTCATTCAGTAGCAAAGAACATTTATTCAGAAGACTATAAATGACAATAAAACACACAGGTGATAATGTGAGATCATGTCATAAAAAAATAGCTGTTAGAAACGCTAAGGGCCTGAGTTGAAGGTAGCTTAATATGCTCCATTTAACTGAGCAGCAGTTATCTTAAAAAAAAACCTGAAACCAACAAAACCAGGAATTCACTGTTTAGCCTTTCCATGAGCTGTTGCATTATTCTTCGATGACTACAATGGATAACAGCCAGACATAAGGAAAAAACATGTTCATCCCCATATCAGTTTACCTGTTTTAAAGCTCCCGTTCCTGAGAAAAGAGTTATGCCTCATTCCTTATCAAAAGCATGAATTTATAGTTTAAGAATGGTTAAAGAAATTATTTTTAAATTATTAATGAAAAATCTTGATGAGCAAAGTGAGTAACACTGAAGCAACAACCTGTCACATGGGATTCAGCTTATATGATTCTATTAAGACAAGAGAGATGACACTTGCCAGGCAGCATAGACCAGCTGCACCCTACCTTTACATCATTGCTGAACTTATGATGAAAATTTATTATTATGAAAAAAAGTAAGAAAACTTGGGGGGAAAAAAAGGTTACTTACCAGAGTAGCCAAAGCTCTTTGTAATGCATTGTGTGTATTCACATTTGGTCTATAGAGGTCCAAACATCAGAGTGTCCAAGATCAAAAAATGGGGGTTTTTTGGCCCTCACAATACTGTGGGTGTGTACTCATCCATCTCCCTTTTCATTGACTTGACAGCAAGCATAGAGTTACAATAATCTGTCTGCCATAGATAGCAAGTGCAAAGGGTATATGGTTATTACATATATGGACAACACACAAGTAGCTAGAATCTCTTCGAGAGAAGCAACTTTTCTTTATGTGCACATCCATCTAGATGGCATGTCAAAGATAATTAAGTGTCCTGGTATCCTCAGAAAAAAGTGCCTGGCAGAGACTTCTTGGTTCTTTGGTGGAAGATTTCTTGAACTAGTTGTCCCGTTTGCAAAGATCCGAAACTATTAAGCAAAACCTCAAACATAGTCTAAGAACTTTTAAGAGTATATCCTGATTACTCAACCATATATCCTGGTGACTCAACCATACTGTTCAAGAGAGGTGATACAGTCTGTTACCTAGTCTGGAGATGGTTATCCCGTTTTGATTTCTCAGCTGGTCAAGAGAATTAGATTAAAAATAATCTGTCAGTCTCTGTCCCATCCAAATAAGAGGACAATATTCTCTTGCTACGCAACACGTAGAGGGAAATCTCAGACCTAAAAATACAGGATTTAGAAAGAAAAACACGGATGGGTAAATTTCCTGATTTGGTGATCTGGCAGAAATTCCAGATGAAGTCCAAGGGATTTGCCAGGAAAACAACATTAAAAGGTATGGGAGAGGAGAAAGTCAGCCATCGGGATTTGGATCTTCTGCTGCCCAGCAGAGGTGATGGGCATCAAAAAGAACAGCAAGGACACATTTCAAACTCTTGAATTTAAACAACCCAATATGAAACGTGACCAAGGTTCTTGTGCTTTTCAGCTGACATATCCTAAGAAAGTAGTCTTGTCCCAACAGTCAGTGGTAATGGCAGTCCACACGTTACTGAAGTAGGCTAACTTGTACTCAAACAGACTCGGGAAAGAAGAAGCAAGAAGAGGAATCCAGAGAAGATTCTAAGGTCATTTCCTCCAAAACAGTGCTCTGACAAAAAAGCAAAAATACCTCACCAACATACGGAAAGGCAGCTAAATACTCATCAAGGACTACAAGAACCTTGCTAGGGCATGCAGAGATGCAGTAAGGAAGGCTAAGGCTCAGCTAGAACTGCAATTGGCCAAAGGTGTCAAGAACAACAAGAAAGGGTTCTTCAGATATGTGAGGAGGAAGCAGAAGCACAGGGAAGACACAGACCCATTGCCTAACAGGGCAGGAAAACTACTCACTAATCATGCTGACAAGGCAGAGGTTCTTGACATCTTCTTTGCCTCTGTCTTTACCAGCACAGCTGGACCACAGGGCACAGGATCGAGTAGCTACGTCAATGCATGTGTTGACCTACCAGTAGTGGAGGAAAGGCTGGTCTGCAGGCTCTTGCAAGGGCTCAACCCACATAAATCTATGGACCCAGAGGAAATTCACCCTGGGGTGTTAAGAGAAGTGGCTGGCATTAATGCAAGGCCACTATCTATAATCTTTGAGAAGTCTTAGAGATCTCAATATAAGAAAGAAATTTTTTATGCTGAGAACAATCAATCACTGCAACTACCTCTCCAGGGATGCGATGGAGTCCTTATCACTAGAGGTTTTCAAGATGTGACTGGACAGGGTGCTAGATAATCTCATCTAGGCTCCCTTTCCCACAAAAGGTTGGACTGGATGATCTTTCAAGGTTCCTTCAAACCTGGGCTGTTCTATGATAAAAATGGATGAGCTGATGGATTCAATCACTAAAGATTTATGTCTGTAGAAACTGTGATATTGTCTCAGCTGTTTCTGAAGACAGAACTATTTCTGGACAGTACCATTCGAGAGGCTGCATCAGCTGAATCTTTTGGCCAGTTGTAATCAAAGAACTGCCTATCACACCTGCGGCTCAAGCTATGGAGTGAAAGATTTCTGCAAGGATTTGAGAGATTTGCACCATATACTGCATTTAGAGGGAAAAAACCCCTTTTATTTCCATCTTACTGTTATCTGGGTTACATGAATCTGGAGAATGTTAGAGTAAGTCTCTTTCAAGAGTATTGGAATGCCTGGAAAACAAACCACCTCCAAATTATTCAGGAGTCATGTGCTGTCAGCTTCCTTAAAAGGTTTAACACAGAGGACTGTAAATCTCCCATGCCTGTCAGGGCCAGAAGTGGGTTAGGGATAGCGTGGGGCTAGAAAGCAGGCTCAGAATTTCTAATGAGAGCTGAAATGAAAATGATATACCCTCCCATCTGCAACTTGGTCTTACAGACAGCAAGATGCGCCTTTATTCCCTGGGGAGAGAACAAGCATATTGGCAGCAACTGTCGTTCATATTTCCATAAACCCTGCTGATGAGATGCATATGTTCCAAGATGCAGAGAAGTAGTCCTCATACTGCTCTCCGGGGAACACCTGAAGAGCTTGAATCCTGTGCCCTTCAAAGGTGGAACGTGGGAAGAGCTCAGCTGCCATGGCTAGTTGCAACACTAGAAGGCTGTCCTCCAGGAAGTCAGTAAGTGCCAAGGCAGAGCAGGAGGCATGGTTCCATCCCATCAGGGGTCCTCAGCACTGAGTGCTTGGGTCTGATTGATCCTGTAGTATGTCCTCAGATTAGAGCTTGGGCGGAGGAAGATCCAAGCAGCTCAGTTAGTGGAGTTGAAAAGAACACAGAAATTCAGTGTCAGAGGCAATTCTCAGATTCTTTTCGGCTGGCTGAGATCCTCAGGTGCTAAGAGAAGCTACAGAAACCACCCAAGCCTCATCTAGTAGTCTCTTGGTGGTAGAAGGCCCTTGGAGCTGCTACTGCAGAGTGGGCAAAGGCCTCTGTTTAAGCTGATATTTTGGTTAAGCAAATTCTAGTGAAACCATGGGTTTCTTCATTGGGCGAGGCTCTTCCTTACCCAATGTTGCCAGGGAAGGTTCATGACAAATAGAACTTGGCCTTGATCCCAGATTTAGATAATCCTAAATGCTACTACAGTCAGAGGTAGGCCACCACTTTTACTAGGATAGTACTTTCATTTTAAGCAACAGGTATTAAAAGTGCTGGGGATGTATCACGTCCTGTTGCAAGGGAAGCAAGAAGCAACCGTATGTCAGTGTCACTTGTCAGTGAGGCACACGCCTCACGATAGAAAAACATTTAAACCCATCCTTAGATGGAGCTATGGAGTATGATTCAGGAAACATATATGAAGTATCTAGACCCATTTCTAATAAGGAAAGGAAAAGCAGCAGAGACCATGCTCCCATAGGGAGGGGCACTGGATTTGACAAACTCAAATTTCAAAAATAATCATACAAGACTGGTTGGAAAGGAGAACTACATAGCCAAAGGCTAACAATAATAAAAAAATAAAGACATGAACACCAGTTAAGAGGCATCTAGAATGCCTCCACTGTTGTGCACTGAGTATGAAAGAGAGAGGGATAGTGTGAAAAAGCTTTAACTTCTGAGACCAGAAAAAAACAGGAGGATGCTATCTTTGAATACCTGCAGTGTACACTTCTCTGTTAGTTTTTCATACTGTAAAACAGCCGATGTCTAGCGAGATGCAATACTACAACAGTGTTCCTTTGCAACCATAAAACAGTCAGTACTGACTCTTTGCTGCTTCACTTTTGATCAACTGCATCAACAAGTCATCAGAATATTTTAAAATTTTAACTTCCTCTACTTTCCCTGCACTTGGTGCCCAGTGTTTCACTCAACAAGAAACAAATCTCTCTGCAAAACAACAGGACAAAGTTTGATTATAATGGTTGTTTCCATGGAAACAGTGGACTTTTCAGGATGTTTGATCATGTATTTACCATTTGATCGGTGAGAAAGAACTAGTAGCAAAACACTGAAAACACAACTCGGAGAGGAAAGTTAATTTATTTGTCTAAAACATCAAACTAAGTTGAGATACCTTAGTTCAGTCAAAGCTTCTTCAGTTTCTTCACAAGCCTGGACTTTATAAACAAATATTCCAAGTTCATCTATCTACAAAAATAGGATGGACAATTCTTGACTTTCTTCAGATACCAAGTTAAATTACAAGTCCTTGAAAATCAGATGAAAAATAGGAAGCGATCCTATACTCCTTAATACACTCCACCACATTTCCCAAGTGTACTGGAAAGGAGGAATATTAGCCTTCTTTGGAAAGGTGCACGGGAAGGCTTATTGCCATCTCTTGGAGACAGGGTATGCATCTACATCACCATGACTGCCATGGTACAGAATCCTTGCCTGCTACTTTTATACGGCATGACCAATTATCTGAGAGTTGTAGTCTGCTGTCTCCATTCGCAGAATGTACGGGATGATGCTGTCAATCTGAACGTTCCCAATCAGTCCTGCAAAGAATAGCTCTTCGGTGATGGCAGCGCTCATCAGCCTAAGAGCCGGCAATCGGAGAAGAAGTCTAGACAGTCTGGAAAATAAGTTTGGTAAAAAGTGTTACTTGTGGTCACAGGTTTTAGTGCTATTCACAATCATGGTATCGGTAAGAGAAGAGAAGAAAATAATAAGGGGCAATACTAGTCAAAATTTGCTATACCTAGTTCATGAAAGGCTTAAATATTTAAATCAGTAGAGTATTAAATTTATGTCCAGTCATGTCTTCAACAGTACAAAAAAACGTGGGTAAGCCTGTCAATTACATGGGCTATATAATGTTTGGACTTAGACTAAATAAGGAAATATTCCAAGTTATGTACAATTCAAAATGAAAACATTAAAAATATTTATTTTATTTCCAACATTTCATTTTACAAACATTAGTAACAACTGAGTAGATAAATAATACTCACAAAATGTATGAGTACATGCATAGTATTTGAAATAATCTAAAGGTAATTTCTTACCTTGAAGGAGGTGAGGAGAAAATGTACATATTTATTACAAGAAATACTGTACAAATCAGTATCACTGATGCTCTGAAAACAAAATCAATCAAGTAAGCATATAAGTTTACAGACCTGTAAGTATCATCTGGATATGCTTTTGTTACATAGTCTTGGAACTCCATGTAAGCCTTTTCTTGAAATTTCTCAATCTGTGCCACATTTTCTAGACCTGGGTGATCTGAAAAAAACCCACCACTCCACATTGTTATACCTGTTATATATAAGGTGCATTAAAATCCATACAGATTATCTAATTGTAAGCATACTGAAATCATTATTTGGTAGCTGTAGCAACTTCATAGTTTCAGTGGAGGACTCTGCTTTACCTCCCTATATTTCTTTTCCTCTATGATTACGTATGTTGCGTTTTACTTGGTTTTTTATAAATACAACCGGGCATTTTGAAGAGTTCAAAGAAATGCAGTGCTTGCAATGTTTACATCTATCTTTACATCTGTCTTGATGATACAGCTCTGTTCTGTGTGTAGCAGTAGAACAGCGTTGTTTCAATACACTGACATTTATTGGAATAAATTAAGTAAAATTAATGTAAAATTAAGATCAGTGGAAAAAGCAGAATAAAAGGCTATGAACCATTTGTTTCCTAGAACTGTAAAAGATACGTAGCAGATAATTCTTTTTCAATTGTTGGGTACAAAATTTTCAAGTGTGATAAATGTAATTTTTAGCAGTGATTTAAACACTTGAAATTTACATTTTGCTAAAATGAAAAGATATTAACCTAACTGCCAAGACACATTTGGAAATTATTATCTGGTAATTCTGAACACTTTACATGCTCTGTAATTTTTATTATCCATCTATCTAAATGTAAATATTTTACTGTCATAGTAGCATGACAAATCACGTAGATTTTATTTTTCAGAAATGGGATCATAAATGAGCTGCCAAATTATTATGTCAGATAAAAGATTATTTCTAGCAGTCACTCCTCCCCTCCAAATATATGACCTTCTGTTAACAAAACCTGGAGTATTTGGTCAAGCTCTGCAGATACAGAAGCTTTCAGAGCAGTTCAGCAGTTCTGTGATACACTGGGCTCCCCTGAACACATCGTTTCACAGGGGAATATTTTGTCCTATATAGCAATTCAGTCATTCCGAAAGCATGACTTCAAATTCATGCAGAGGACAAGAGGTAAACAAGTTCATGAAGAGCAACACATTCTGAAGAGTTGTTGTTGACATGAATATGCATCACTTCACGATGCTGCTTTTAGAGGAATGTCAGAAACACAGCTACAAGTCAACTTCCAAACCCAGTAGTTTGAACACCACCGCTAGTACGCTAGAGCCATTTACAGAGATCCAAAGTCTTCCAGGCACTCCCTTTATGCTCATCTCTTTGCCCAAGGCTGTCTTGTGACAGTCAAACAGCTGGTTTGGCACAGAAGATTTTCAGTAATCTTCAAGTCTCCAGTGACAGAAGACAGCAAATCAGCAGGGTCTACTAATGCAGATGTTCTTACCTTAGGGTAAGACTGAAAAATTCTTGGAGATACAGAAAGTACTCGAGGTTTACGTGTTTTTCTTTTATCAAAAGATTTGGGTTTGGTTTTATATTAAATCTCTAAATTCTGAATGATGAGTCTAAGACCTGCAGTATACTGATGTAATATATGAATGCCTTTAGTGAAAAGTTAATTCTATGATTTTCAAGTAAGAAAATTAGTTGTGTAATTTTCTACAGTCCAGGCATATGTGTTACATAGTCTAACTACTCAGTCCCTATCTACAATAACCAGAGGACTCTTCTTCCTCCGTATTGTAGGCTAATCTCCCAGAAGGAAAAAATAATAATCATTTTATCTTCACTAATGCATGTCCATTAACATTACTTGGAGTACATTAGGCAAATACTGTTCAGAGGACAGAAATAATAATGTAAGGGAATGTTTGTGGCATTCATTCTCCAGAAATGCTATATGTAATATTTATTTTCAAACTACCTATGTGAAGTGAGGTGACATGTTTTTGTGCTTTTTCATGTGAGAATCGATGTCGAGAGATAGTCTTTCATACATTTAATATTCAACTTCAGTCCACCTCAGCTGGATGTGCAAGAGCAACACTTCTGAAAATTAAACTGACAGTCCTCAGAAAAAGTACCACAGAAAGGAGGCACAGAATTAAAAGTAATAGATAAAGAAATGAAAATAATATATATATATATATATATATATATAAAAAATCAATGGCAGAGGTAAGAGTAAAGCTTTTGTCTCCAAAGTGGTATTCAACTATTTACATTAAAAGATTAACCCTCCTCTTCCTACAGTCCTCATTACACACCTTCCAAGAGTCCTCAACAAGTGAGGCAGTAAGTCTACAGGTGACAGTAACTGAATATAATGACACAGGCAGAACTTATATGGCAAAAAGTAGCATAGTTTTAAGTTTTACGTTTGGAATAACTACATACCAGGGCTGAAGAGGACGATTGCTTTCAAATACGCATATTCATATCCATCTAGACAAAGCTTAACCATGCTGTTACAGAACTCTTGCAATTTGAAGATATGCTCCATCACTAGTTTTCCTCTGTCTGTTGGCAGCTTATCTAAGACAACACACACAAAAAATACAAAACCCCCCAGTCAACACACATGCAAAAAAATGTGGTCACACTGGATTTCTAAGAATAATGATTTGTATTAGATTCAGACAGTGGGAAATCTATGCCATCTACATATAAACTCATAGGCTAGGTCTGAATAATCTTGACACAAACAATTTTACTATAACAATCTTTTTTTTTCCTTTTTTTTTTACCGCCCTCACATTGTACAACTGGGTCTCTTCCTGCCACTAAAGCTTCCATAATCAGGGGTGGATAAGAGCTTGAAATGATCAATGAAGGGAAAGACTACTTATAAGAAAAGAAAACACTGCTACTGCAGATCTTTGCTTTACATCTAAGGCTCAGGTGCCATGAGACAGATCAGCGTACAGTATCACAGGTCATTTTAGTCAAAGACGTACAGATTTGCTAGTATGTTTAGCTGATCCATTGCATTTAGAGGTTTAATCAATTTGAATTATAAAACATTGTGATTTATAGGGGGATCTTGTGGATATTTTTACATCATGAAAACCTCTCAGAAAGAATTCTTTAATCCCTCATCATGAAGGAGAGGAAAAATTCATATTCTTGTGGGCTGTTTTTCTACCACTTACCAATCTGTTCTTGTATTGCATAAACAGTGAATTTTCATCCACAAAATAGCAAATAACCTTAAAATGTAGTTAAACTTGAAAATGCTAAGGTTTTTGTATGTACATCTACCCCATTAAAAATGTGTTAAGACTATGAACAGATGAAGGCTATACTATTTTTGACTTGTTGGCTTTTAGCACTGAAAACCTTGTGAGAGTTCACAAGCACATAAAGAAGATTAGCCAAAAGACTTCCCTACCACTCAGAAGAACATTTCCTTCACTGCAGATGAAAGAGGAGGCCAAATGACATCTCATTCATTTGAATGAAAAAAATGCGAAAGATGCAGAATGTAGGATTAATAAGAAATGAAGTGTACTTAGCGGAAGACTTGCATTAGTCTAAAACGAGTCTATAGCCCAGCTATGTAAAGGAAGTGTATCACCAAGTTGGCATTCAGCTGCTTTCTTTCATAGGAATGAACAGCAAGGACAGATGGGTCATTCTTTAAACCCTTGATACAGTGGAATCATATTCACATTACATTTGTGTTCTTAATGTTGATGCTGCCTGAAATATTCCCAATTTGATCTGACATAGACTAACAGAACAGCAGAACACTGTTAGACATTACACAGACACACAATAAACCCCCCCCCCCCAGTAAATAACCTATCTTCAAAAGATGGGTGGTTTTTTTATTATTTTCTAAATTTGGAGGGAAGGAAATATTAGCATAGCTGACTTTTGCAAAATTGCTAAAAAATTCCATCTTGTGAACTGTATTTTCTAGTATTATTTTGTTTCAGTGCTAACTGCTAAACTCTTTACAAACAGTAGATTTTTATTAACGACTGAATGATCAATAAAAAGCTTTTGCACAGTTCAAAACTTAAAAAACTAAGTAATTCCCCAAGTCTGGCAACGCAGCCAGTGTACACCTTACCTTGCTGTAAACTGCCGTGAAGGTGATTGACAAATGCAGTTAATATTGTCGCCACATTCATAACTTGTGAACATTGTGCAAGACCAAGCGTAAAAAGTTCGTTCCAGCAGGCTTTTACTAATGATATGCTGTTATCCTGTCTATTAAAAAATAAAATAATTTCACTTAATAAAATCAGCCATTTGCAATCACAGGTTTTTTAATTTGAAGAACACTTCATAAAACATTCATTTAATTCAACCATTGCAACCAGTACCAAAACGAAGCCCTGCATCAAAAGTATTTTTATTTGCATGCTAAGATTAAAATACCTGTTTTAGAGTGACATTTGTAAAGAAGTGATTTTTGTTTTAATAATCAAAAGTAAAGAGATCTCCATCACAAAAGCAAGCTGAACTTACACTAAATGACAACTGTCTAGGCATGTTCCATACTAATTTTTTTAGGATTTACACTAACTTTTGTATAACATTTACAGGCATGGACAAAAAAAGTTTGCATTGCTCCTGTATTGTGGATGTAGAACAGATTCAAAGGTCTATTTTTTTTCCTACTTGTAATCTGGCAGGTTGCTGTAATTTCATAATTAAAAATACACATGAAATGGAACATGTGAGATCAAGTTCCTGAGCTTCCTGACTGCTATTTTCTGTATCCTTTTCATGTTTGGAATCAGGATTGAAATACAGACTTTGAAGTATAAATAGAAGTCATGAGGATTTGCTGGCTGGAAGAATTAGTCCTGAAATTTTCACAGTTTTAGCCAGTAAATATAAATAATGGAAAGTTAAAAGAAGCACAAGACCTATCAAAGAAGAAAAGCACATTAAAGCTAGGATTTCAACTACAAAAATACAATGGAGTGGATTTTTGTAAGAATATTGGTGAAATCTTCAAGAACATTTCTGATGATTTACTGCAATACTAATATGCCAAATGACTTATCCTGTGCTGGATTACAGAGAGCAGTAGGGCAGTATTTTTCACTCCGATCCAGTTCTTGTTATGGGAGACATGATACTGGACATGCAGCTTCTAAACATATTTGTCACATCCCTACTCGTCTCCTCTCAAAGGGACTATGCTGAGGAACAGTGAAAATAGGGTATACTGGCTACTCAGCTGGTATGTGTGGGGATAAGTGTATCATTTATAGACCCTTTGTGGCTGATTAAACTTAACCAGCCTCAAAAAACTAAGAGGCTGTCACCAGCTTGATGAACGTTTCAGTAGGAATCTCTCTTGCCTACAAAGGTCCTTGTGCAGGAAGATGAACTAAGCAATAACTTGGTACCATTAAATAAATGAGTATGCCAAAGCCAACCATCCTTCCAGGACTAAGGAAAACACTGCCTGAGGAGTGTATCCACCTGGATACAATTATCTACCTTCCCTACAAAAGCATTACTATGGTTTTGTTTTGGCTCGTCATCTCCTCTCAATTACTAGTAATTTCTCTTTATTTTAAGTGAAATGAGTCGCCCTTCTGAAAGTCAAAATTATCGTACATAACGTGCTCAACCCGAAAAAGCTGCATTAGTTTCAAATAAATCTCCACTTGAAAAAAAGTTTGTGTTTCCTTCAATAGGAAGACTTTATGTTAAATGGTTTTTAAATATACTGTTGGCCATGATCTTGACTGGGACTGTAAATGCCAGCACAGGTACATATTAACACTATTAACACAGCCTACTCCTTCGTTTTTTAATTCAAACAGAAAAATATACTGGGAAGTAACATATTCAAAAAGCATGCAGATTTTCCATAGGCATTTCTTGTTAATCTTTTTGGAGAGAGAGGTCTTCTGTACAACATTTTCTTTTAAAAAGCAATTCCCATTTATTGTTTTAACACTAATTTGCAGTGTCCTTCTGTTACAAAAAATGTTTAAAAACATATAATAATGTAATGTACTATGTTAATTTGCTATGTATTTTGAAATTATGCAGGGCAACAATTTCTGCTAAAATAAAACATCACATTTACCTGATTTTTTATCCTTGCTATTGTTTAAATTTATAGAATTTCACTTTTTTCTTCTCCAAAACACAGGCTTCAATTACACACAATATAGTATCTTTCCTTAAACAATGTAGAATAATTTGGCATAAACATCTGAGCAAACACAAATGGTAATCACAGATCATCCTGGTTTTGACAGCTTTCCTGGAAAAGGGGACAATCCCTCACTTTAAAAAGGAATTCTCTTTGCTGCCACAGTCATACACTATTTTGACTGAACTAAAGAAAAACACTGTAGATGAGAAGAGACAAACATGATTTATGCTCCATTTGTGTCAGAGCTGATACAGTATTTTTATTTGTCTGATGTGTCTTCATAAAATTACTTCTGAAAATCACATAAATCACTTTTCCCCTTGCTGTTTTTAGATGTTTTCTTATGATGATTGGCAATGTATTACTACATTTGGCTTAAGAATTTTAAGCAATACACTGAATTCTACTGGAAAAGCAGGATGTTACACAAACTGTAAAAAGAAAAATAAGAATTACTTTCTGGTTACAGCAACCATTTGTTTTTGGAAAATCCCCTGAAATTAAACAACTTCCTCCTGAATGCTTGCTGCATCAAGCTAACCATTTTCTTCATATAGGTCATTAAAAGCAAAATTATTACCACTAATTCACCTATAAAGATAACAATATTTGGGGATCCAGAGAAGAGCTTTGTTGTGGTGACTGCCTGATAAGCCTCTAATTTGGGATGTAGCTATTAAAAAATAATAGGAAGTCCTATTTACTAAAAATTTATTAATAAAGTAGCAGCGTGCAGGCATTTGGTTGTTTTAAATCAACTCCTTTTTTCTTCAAAACCCAACCAAAGTACCTGAACTGGACTGAAGTTGGCAGTAGTTTTGATTAAGAAAACCTATGTTTGTGATGAAGATCTATAAAACAGTTTTAATAAGTAGATTTATATTTTTAAATGTCCCTGAAGAAGACAGTGAAAAAGAAATATTTAAAACTGCATATTCACAACATGAATGAACAGAGGAACTGAACACTTACCCTAACGCTTGGAAAGATGGAATGGAACGTGCCCAGTGCATGGATAAGAAAAGCAACCTGGAGGCAGACTCACAGATATAGTGAACGTTAAGATATTCAGGCATAGGAGAAGGCATCGTGAGCTGGCAACCAAAAAACAGGGAAAAAAAAAAAAGTGCAAGTCAGTTATTTTATTTTCTTCATAAAAAAACATGCTAAGAAAAAATCTGTCTTAGAGTTTCTTTTAAGTGAAAAGGTAAAATTGTTTTTTAAATAGATGTGAGATAATCTTGATGTAAAATTAATTCACTGCCTTTTTCATTAGCCTCACTATTATATACTATAATAACTACAAAGCAACAAGAAAGGCAAATAGTTTGAATCTTTATCTTAGATAAATACTCATGTCTGGGACAGCTGGAGATAAAGAATCCCAAATAAAACTCAACTTTCGAGACAGCCTCAAAGAATAAAAGCTTTATAAGAATCACTGTAATTTGAATTAAAGTTCTTACATTTTAATACAGATAAATATATAAAAAATACACAAAGGCATCATTACTTTCTAAAGCTTCTCCCAGAGAAGTAGAATAAGTGGCCTGAAAAATTAAAGGAGTTACCAGATTTCCTGGGGAGGTGGTGTGTTTGTTTTTTACAGAACATCTTTCTTTGTACTTTTAATTAATGTTTTACAATTAAATACATCAAAAATCTTTTGATGCGTGAGTAAAATATAATACACAGCTGCTCCCAAGTCCTAAAAATATAATCAATATACATCAGAAAGGACCAGCTCTACCTTTCTTAATGTACATGAGTAAAAGCAGTGGCGTGGTATAATGGTTTGGCTAACACAATTTTAAAAAAACCCTGAAATTTGTAAAAGAGAGATGTTTATTTGAGTGATCAAAACATGTGCTGAGGAGAGGTGTTTTGGTTTAACCCCAGCTGGCAACGACGCAGCACAGAGCTGCCCGCTCATTCCCACACAATGGGATGGGGGGCAAGAATTGGAAGGGTAGGAGTGAGAAAACTTGTGCGTTGAGATAAAACCAGTTTAATAATGGAAATAAAATATAATAACAACTGATAATAATGAAGAAAAGGAAAAGAATAAAAAATTAAAAATAACAAAGAGAGAGAAATAAACCCCAAGAAAGACAAGTGATGCAAATCAAAGCAATTGCTCACCACCCACCGACCGATGCCCAGCCAGTCCCTGAGCAGCAGCCCCCCCTTGATGACCTTCCCTCTAGTTTATATGTTAAGCATGACACCATATAGCATGGAATATCCCTTTGGTCAGTTGTCCCAGCTGTGTCCCCACCCCTGCTCGATGTTGGGGCGGTGTGAGAAGCAGAAAAAGCCTTGACTCTGTGAGCGCTGCTCAGTAGGAACTAAACCATCCCTGTGTTACCAACAAATCCAAAGCATGGCCCCTTAATAGCAACTGTGAAGAAAATTAACTCTATCCCAGCTGGAACTAGCACAGAGCAGCCAAGTTTAATAAAATGCCTGGTACTGAAGAAGTTTTCAGATGAGCAAGCTTTTTGATTTGTCCATTAATAATAAGATGAAAAAAAAAAATGGACAGAATTTCTGCAGGCTTGTAAAATGAGAAATAAAGCCTGAAAATACATGGCTCACTAAAAAAGAAAACGTATTTTCCCTTATTGATTAAAGTCAATTAATATCATACTAAAATAGGGCATATACACAAAGGAGAAAATGACACTTAAGAGTCTCAAAATCCAGTTGCAGATTGCACCAGATCCCTTTGTTAACAAGCGAGAATGTGGATGCTGACTCTCTGCTCTGTGTGACTCTTGTTTATCTAAATCCTTTTGCATGTATTACCTAAATCTTAAGGTAAGAAGCCATTAAATAAACAGTGCAGCTAAACCACCAAAGAGACATGTGCATTTTCCCAAACAAGCAGTTAATCAGTGAACAAAAGCAGTGCATTCATCAGCAATGAATGCCAATAACTGAACCTACTCTCCTAAGAAATTCAACAGTAAGATTTAATCAGATGTTTCTTTTCTATTACTATGTTAAAATGGTTATAAATAGTCCACAGTAGAAAAGTATGATGAAGTACCCGGAATGCTACGTGTGCATCGCTGAGTAGCGGCCCCTCTATTTCGACGATATTCATGCTTGTTTCTCCCCCCATCAGCTGCACGCCGCCCTCCATGCTGTCAGAGCTCTGGCACGCCCCACTCTCGCCTGGATTCAATGCTTTCGCAAGAGTATCGAACGCCCTGCAAGATCACAGCAAAAAAAAGCAAACAAATTCAAAAAACAATTAAAAAAAGAAAAGAAAACTTTAGAGACCGTTTCCATTTAGGAGGAAGCGGCACATGTCTGAAACCTGTATCCGGATGCCTGTTTCAAAGAACCAGATTTGGAAAATAGCAGTCAGCAGTGCGCTTCTCCTGCCGCTCCACCGAACAAAATCCCTGAAAACCCCAACTTACAGTGGCTCTGCAACAAAAATTAGCAGCAGATCCCGTTCACACTAGTTGCCAACAAATTCACAGTTTTGACATATTGATTGTGTTGCTGAATCACAGTTTGCCTTTCAGGATCTCTTTAGTGTTGTTTACTGAGAGTGCTGGCATGAGCGTTTTGAGGACATCAGAGTGCTGTTAAAGCAACTTAATGCACATGTAAATTTTAGACTTTTGCTGCTATGAAGCACAAATGGAACAAGCGTGGTTTTTTTAAGTAATGAGCTGTGGTTAAGTTATCCAGCTTAATTTGAAAAGACTGTTTCAACTATGTAAGAGAAAGCACTCTCATGCTTTCAGTATCATCCTTAGCATCCTTTGATGTGAGGCAGTGACTCCTGCAAAGATGAAGTCACAGGCACAAACATTACAGGAGAGATGACAGGAAGAGCACAGATATATTCAATATTTTGATAACATTATTTCATTTGGTGACAAATCCATTGTTTTTCTTGCATGAATACACCTGAGAACCAAACCTGATATATCTTCAATCAAAAATCAACAGATTAGATGCCTGCCTACAGAGAGATGACATATCCTGAGAGCGATATCATTTGTATACAGCATTGTGTGATAAAATTATGTGCAGAGGGCTGAAAACTTTACAAAAGCTGAGTAACAGCTGGTATGTAGAACTGATTCTGAATTTATAGAGACATTTTTGTTACCACAGAATCTAAAATCACTGATTGAATGCCAAAGTCTCGAGCAGAATTTTGCAACCTTCTCTTCCCCCACACTCCCTAGCTATCTGAATTCGTTAACATGCCAGAATAGTCTAAATGTTTACTCTATTTGACATAAGTAGTTACCACCAAATGAAACATCCCAATAAAAGAGCTGCTGACACTGGCTCAGGCTTGAGATGAACTAGTGTTTGGTCCTACACTAGCCTGCATGCCTTGATGTGTACACTTGAGGGTGACTGGGGCATGCACGAGTGGATTAAACAGGTATAGGTGGACTACACAGATATACCTGGGACGTTTTCTGTCTCTGGCATACATAAAGTAGGCATGAAGGGAATGCATTCATGGGTAAGCTCTGGAAGTTTTATTATTGGACTCCTGCTAGGAGATCTGAATTTCAGGTCCTGCATGGCTCACTCTTGGCAGACTTATGTAGAAGAGGCAAACTCAGCAGCTCACAGGCAGATGCTTCTTAGGGAAAACAGGATCTCTACAGGGCTTTTCATATAGCAGGAACAGAAATGTAAGAGAGGAACAAGATCTCTCCTTTCCCCAAAAGGTAAATGTCATATCCATCTGCCACAGTTCTGACTTTATTCCAGGAAAGGCTGAAAAGTCTTTTTAAATATGGTGGACAGGTACACTGGTTAACCATGTCTGCCTGCGATACTCCCACTTGTTATTGAATGTTTGCTTTCAAAGAAATCTTCTCCCTCCTACCCCATAAATGGGTAGCAGTAAGCCAGCAGACATGAACAGAAGCGTCGCTTCCTCATGGCTCCACACTGGGATCTTTTTAATACAAAAGCAATAATTGCAAGGTAAAACACCAATGAAAAGAGAATCCAGAACAAAGCTTGGCTGGACACTGTGAAAACCGAGCCCACAAACTGAGAAGAAAAGGTATAATCAACATTCAAATACATGGTATTGATATCCTTTGCTAGACACAACTTTGTTTCTATTTGTGTTGGTCCCAGTCACTAGGAGATATATAGGACTGCTGATAAACTGTAAAAAATGGCCACAGATAACGAGGCCATTAGAGGACAAGGCATATAACATTACAGTATAAAAGCAGTGGAATGCTAGCAGCAAAGTTGTACGCTAATTTTGTGTCATCAGAAGTGAAAATACAGCTACTGTAGCTGCAATGGATGGATAAAACTTGCTTCCTGAAATCCCTTAACCTCTTTTTCTTCAGTAAACATCTGTGTCTCTTAGATCAAGCTGGCATAAAGCCTGGCAAAGAAATCAAAGATTTAGATAAAAATTTAATTTCTGCTTGGGTAACAAGTTGCCTTTCATAGGAATATTTAACTTGAACCTCTCCACTGGAAATCTATTAGTTAAGCTACTAGACAAGAGTACGCATTAAAGCTGAGTCAGAGCTCTTGGAAGCTCTCTGGCTGAGAGAACTTGGGGTCTTGTCATAGTCAGATTTTTAAAAATGAACATTTCTGTTGTTGAAATTGGCAAAAGCAAGCATCTGCAAGTGCCAGGAAATAAAGAACTGAAAGATTATCCTGCAACCTTATTACTACATCTTTTTGAACAGCTGCAGTATTGAATGTAGTTTATCAGCACATACAATGATACTACTTACACAGTATGTTCTTGTATTCTTTACCTAGGACACAGCAAAGGTCCAAATCAGCACCTATATAAAGTCACATTGACTTTCCAAGCAGCATATATAGAAAGGAGCAGAACAAATGCATTCTGCTTGCAATTACACAACGCAGTAGAGACTACAGGAGAGATCATGTATTTCAGTCAGTACAAGCTACTTCGCCATACATCAGTCTTTTGTTCCTTGGCAGATTTACTCCACATACACATTTTCAAAACTACATATACAGTGTAGATGGTGTGTAAATGAGTATTGCTGGGACAGCTCTCAGAAGGTTCAACAAAGCCAAGTGCAAGGTCGGGGCTTGCCTGGGCTGTGGCAACCCCCAATATCAATACAGGCTGGGGAATGAAGAGATTGAGAGCAGCCCTGCAGAGAAGGACTTGGTGTTCTGGTAGAAGAAAAGCTGGACTTGAGCCGACAACGTGCGCTTGCAGCCCAGAAAGCCAGAAATATCTGGGGCTGCACCAGAAGAAGCATGGCTAGCAGGTCAAGGGAGGTGATTCTGCATCCAGCTCTGGAGCCTGAGCACAGGAAAGATATGGACCTGTTGGAGCAGATCCAGAGGAAAGCCACAAAAATGATAAGAGGGATGGAGCACTTCTCCTATGAGGACAGGATGAGAGAGCTGGGGTTGTTCAGCCTGGAGAAGAGAAGGCTCCAGGGAGACCTTACTTAAAGGGGGCCTACAGGAAAGTTGGGGACAAACTTTTCAGCAGGGCCTGCTGTGATAGGACAAGGGCTAATGCTTTTAAACTAAAAGAGGGTAGATTTAGCCTAGATGTAAGGAATTTGCTTACAATGAGGATGGTGAAACACTGGAGCAGGTTGCCCAGAGAGGTTGGAGATGCCCCATTCCCTGGAAACATTCAAGGTCAGGTTGGACAGGGATCTGAGCAACCTGATCTAGTTGAAGATGACCCTGCTCACTGTAGGGGGCTGGACTAGGTGGGACCTTTAAAGGTCCCTTCCAACCCAAACTATTCTATGGTTCTGTGATATTCAATGAATGGATTTGTACTGACGGTGAGAATTCTGCAAGTTCTCCTGTGTAGAAAGAAAATGTTTTTTAAGCTTTTAAGACGATTAATAGTTACAGGCATTAAACTACTTACACAGGTGAGATCTCTAAGAAACAGTTTAATAGAATGATAAAAAATACTTAGACTCTAGTACAAGATCTAAGACACATTAAGGACAACCAAAAGGTAAGAAAATCAGCTATGAGATTTACATTGAAATTCCTTTCAAGTATAAACAACTGAAAGTATTTATTTCTCAAATGGAATTTCCTTATGATTTCACTTGGAAGAATCTTGCAAGATTTATCTTCTACATGAGCTCAGGCTGTTATTTTTAATGCAGGTAAATTACCTACATTTTTAAGCGTAACATGCCTTACCTTGTAACATCACTACTAGCTTGTTCTTCTTGCGGGAGTTCAGATAACGATGCATCTCCATTACTTAAGCTCTCAATCATAGATAGCTCTGTACTGCTTTGTGACATGTCTTTGCATTTACTGAGATTTGCTAATGAAGTCACCACGTTTGCCAGTGTACTTAAATCTCCCTGACATGCTTCAACCTAAGGGAAAAGGAAAGTTTTTAATTCTCTCATATCAGCAGCAGTTAACTTGCAGTAGAAGAATCTAACTTTTACATAAATGAAGAGCTGAGCATGTGAATAGACCTGTAAGAAAATTATTGTTTTCAGTAAATGGATAATCATAATGGAGCAATTAGACACTGCACTGTTTCTAAAATATGAAATATTTAGACAGTTACAAGTAATAGCTATCTATTTCTTTCAGAAAGAATGCTACAGATGGTAAGCAACTGCAGAAGGAGAATTTATCATCTCCACTCACTAGTCAGTCACCAGGACTGTAAGACTGCACTACATTTTATTTTTAGCATCTTCCTTCCTTCCTCGTGTAAATGAGTCAGTAGCAATAAGGTAGGAGAATGTTTGAAAAGAAGGAATAGATAAAGAGTCACCTTTAAAAGCAAGCAGAAGAAGAATTCTGCTGCAGCCTTTTTGGTTTTTATGTCTTTATTTAACTGCAAGGGAACAAGGTGACTCAGTAGTGACCAGCAACTCAGACAGGCAGTAAGACAGGCTTCCCTCCCTGCCCCACAAAAAAAAAAATTAATAAGTAAAGTGCATGATTACAGACAAGTACACTGCTGCTAAGACCAGTATGCTACATGTCATTTAGCTTGCACTGTCATACAGACGGAGCCAGAAAAGTGAAATGGAATAAACAACTTCTGATGGGGCCCTTTGCAGACAGAGCAAGCGAGGGAAAGTGCATGAAAACAGTATGAGGTAATTTATACCAGCTAGAAAAATACAAAAGCTTCCTACTGTGCATGTGTAGGGAAGTTATCACATGGCATTAGTGGATCAGTAAGTGTAACAAAATGGAAAAAAAAAATCAGCTTAGAAGTAAGATTGTTGTTGAGATAGCTCTTACTAGCTTTGCAAAAAGAACGAGCAATTCAGGGGAAAAAAACCTAACAGTATTTATGAAATGCACTGTGATAATGCCATGTGAGGTTTTGCAAACACCTCACTTTATTGGCAGAAAAGAAATATCCAAGTGTCAGGATTACCCAATACAAAGAAAAATAATGCAGCCCTTAAGGCTCTCTAGAAGTGTGGAGGAAGGCATCTACTTTATAGAGTTTTTAGCATTTTTATTATGCAAGGCTGAAAGTATTCTTGTGAAGAGAAGGCATTTGCAACACTCCTAATGTTGTAAAGGAGTGTTTTAAAAATGAATTTAACAAAACAGAAGTACAACAAAACAGAACACCTTTCCCTCTCTACATACACAACTACAGCAAACAACTAATTAATATATCAGTCGTATCATCATATACCTTATCTGGAGTCATCAGCACAGTAGGCTCAGTTTTTATTGCAGACGGATGAATGTTAACAAACATTCCCGATTCCAGCAGACCTGTTGATCTGACACAAAACAGCACACACTTTCATTTTTATTAATGTTAAAATTAATGTTTCAATTCATTTTTTCCTATTTCAGGAACCAGAGACAGCTGCTTCTGAACAGAATTTACATACCTTGCTGTTTCATTGTCTGTTACAAAAGTCGGAGTTGCAGCTAACGGGCTACGAAGATCTTTCCGAATGTAGATCTTTTCTGTAGAAGCTGCACAGTTTGAAGATTTTTCTCTTGACACTTCAATAGGTTTCCTCTCACACTGCACAGCTAACACAGCAATATGCAACTATTAAGTCAACATCCCAAATTACAGGATAAGAAATAATCCTTTTCGCCCCCCTCTCTTTATTTAATGTGCAATTTTAATAATAATTCTGAAAGTAACAAAAAAAAAATCCCATGACCAACAAGCTAACGACTTGGGTAAAAAAACACAACACACCAACATGATTTGTTTTTAATGAAATGATGTAGTAGTCAAAGTCTGAGACCAAACATATAAAGACTAAATTTTTCAAGTTACAATTAAGGGAGAAATCCCCTTATATCTTATTTTATATTCTCCCTCTCTCATTTTCACTGTCCCACACTCTCAGTTCATTTGTAAAGAACCCACTGTACCCTTCTTTTTCCATAGATTTTCTGGGTTGAACCTACATAACTTTATGCACTTGAAGAAACTTCTCAATTTAGGATCTTAGACAATACAGAGGGAAAGGGACATTCACAAAGTTCAGTTCAGATCATTTAAAATCTGGGTGACATCCTGACCCACAATCACTGACTTCAGAGATTAAGCAGATTTTTAATTTGAATAGCTCAGTGAAACTAGGTGGAAGAATCTGGGTTTTAGCCTAGAGATAAATCACCTTGCTCTGGATGGATTAGAGAACTCTAAAATGAAACTTACACTACTATACTCTATGGGGAACTCCCTAGCTCTACGTAATAAAGCCAAAGGAAACTAGTTTACAGTTTGATTTTAGAAGTTTAATGAAAAAAATAATTTCTGGAAAAATAACATAACTAACATAACACTTACTGTAAAAATTAATAAAATGTATTTACAAAATACAATTTAAAAAAAAAATACGCAATAAGTTGTTCTTCCACAATTTTCAAGTGATGCAAGTCATTTTATAAATTGGAATAAGATCCTGAAAGAAAGTGACAAACCAGGCGTACACATAATTTAAAATATGCATCAATTCACCAGCCTCATAAGCAATGGCTACTGGCTAGCAGAGCCTCTTTAATATTGTACTGCATGTGGAAACTGTTTAAGCCTGTAAAGAGAATACTGAATGTTCATTATTTTAAAACACAAAGCCAAATAGGAAAACAACCTATTTTTTTTCTTCAATTATGCTGTTTTGGAAAATGTAACTAAAGAAAAAAAATTAAAAAGCTTTTGAGTTAGTAGTAGACTGTGATGCAATTTTCACATTGACAAGTATTATAAAACCAAATGTTGTAATACCATGAAGCACTGGCAATGCCATTAAAGGTAGCCCATAGCCCACGAATGGTGCTTTGAAAGGGTGGGAAATGGGGGCAAAAAAGTCTTTTATTATCCTTTGCTAACCCTGTAATCACCAGCTGGATTTGAGTTTGCTGAGGAAGGGCCAAGACTTCTTCAAGGGACAAATAACCCCAGGGAGGGGGCTACAGCACAAGATGGTGCTGAGTTTTCCTTCCTCTCCCCACTTCACTGAGGAATGAGACTTCTTAACCCGAAACAATCCTCTCCTCCACTCAGTATTCCCCCACGACCCACAGATCCCTTTCCTGCCTTTTGACCCTCAACCCCAGAGATTTTGTTCTGCTTGAAAAGTCTTCTGCGGCGGGACGAAGTGCTGCCAGCTGAACAAGAAGGAAAGGGATAAAGATTCGCTTTCATCGCCCCAGTTTCTCTTCCCTTTCTGAATTTCCTCTGTGCTGGAAAAGCGTTACTGGTTTCTGCTGACAGAAGCAGGGCTGTAAGCAGGGAAATGTCCACAGAGGTTCAGGAGGGTCAGCAAAACAGAGCGGGATGGCAGAGAGCAGAGCACAAGACTAATATTGTGTGTACAGCAACAGCGTGACAGTGTCTGGGCTGAAGAATTCATATTGCTCCATTTTCTGCGTATTTAGTATTCTGGTAACTGCTGTGGTATTGCAGTGTCACTACATCCAATGTATGGAAATCTAAAAAGGAATTTGAAATCTGCAGGAATCGGTTAAGAACTGAATTCTAGATCACAATGGATCTCTGCCTTGTGAATAACTGTCTCTGCAGAGCTTTGCCAAAAGTGAACAGCAACTGCCATTTATCTCCGTTGTGGAAAAAGTGGCAAGGAGGTAGAAGGATTCACAACGTTCAGAAATTTAATTTACGCATAGAAAAATTGAACTGCATAGATTAAAAATGAAGATGGAGACATGCTTGACATTTGCCACCCAGGAATAACAATTCATTAACTTTTATCACATGCAATAGCCTTATTAAGTTTGTCAAGCAACACGTATGCTTGAAAACATTTCAGGCTTCTCGTACGCCAAACTTGTACAATTCTTTAAAGGAAAAAGAGATAATGATTTAAAAACATAAAAGCAAGAAAACAATTTGTATTAATATAAAACATATATTTCGTAGCACAAACTTCAACATAGCTGCCAGCTAAAAGAAGTGACACTAATTCAGACTTACAGTCTTGTTTCATCCCAAACGCGATGCATCTCTGCAGCCTACAGTACTGACACCGGTTCCGGTGGTGTTTGTTAATGACACAATCTTTTGTTCCTCGGCACGAATAAACTAAATTCTTCCGTATACTCCTTTTAAAGAATCCTTTGCATCCCTCACAAGTTACTGCTCCATAGTGACGCCCTAGTTACAGAACAGCATAAATCACGACATTAATTTTACATTGCAATAATATTTTTTTAACTTGTATCTATTAAAAACAAAGTATTTGCTATGTTACCCAGAAAAAGAACACTTTTTTTCCCCATGGGTTACAGATCTTAACATATGTCATGGCTATGAAACAAAGTGAACCATTTTTATAGTTCTAAGCACATAAACAGGACAGATTTTACAAACAGGCAAGTTGTTTATTAAAGTCTTGCTGAATCTGTTGACAGCAGTGTTAAAAAAAGCTAAGAAAACAGGTTAGCAAGATCACAGAAGAAACTTTTTTAATTTAAAGACTCTTTAGCAATTTTTTTTACGATGTCCCTACAGTCAAGCCAGTTACTGCTCATTACAAATTCATTTGTTGAAATTGTATGCATTAAATCTAATGGAACCGTGGAAAGCGCAAACATGACATTTGACAGCAGGAGGTAATCACTTCAAAGCTTTACTTTCACCTTTCATTTTCCTAACATGGACATGGTACATCCTTAGTTCTTTCAGTAAAAATTCAATGAAAGAATAATCTAAAATAGCTAAATAACTTTTTTAAAAAATCAGTTCTTCTCTGAATTTTCTAATATATAGTGCAAACATTAAAATTTCTAGGATATACTACAGAAAAAAGTCAAGTTTTAAAATTATTTTTCAGAAGTAAATTGTTTTGATTCTGCTGTAGCACAAAATACAAATATTACTAAAAAGTACTGGTTCTGTTAAGGCATGCTTGGCAACTCCAACAATTTTAATTCTATGATCCTGAAGAAAAAAAAATTCTAAACACGAAGATCACTGACAAACACTCAAAATATATACTGCAGAGGCACTAACGCTGCTCTTTGAACTAAGTAGGACACACTACAGAAATAAATCTCAAATATGTCCTAATTTAAGTGAAAAGGTATTTTTAGATTCTTTCCTCACTCCTCACACACTTTTTTTTAGATACATCAGTCTCAGCTACCTGAAGCTTCTAGAAATTCAAATAGGTTTTCTAGATTCCTTTATCATAACCATGTTACCACACTATTATAATGTGAAATTTCTAAAGCATCATATATATTAAAAGAATATTACCAAGTGAAATATTTTCACATCAACTGGATTGTGAATACTTAATATCCACCCTGCAGAGCACCAGGGTAGCTTCTTCACCTGCTCTTTGATGTGGCTTCTCTGACTCCAGCTTGGAGGTGTCTGCGAAGCACTGCTTGTCACAGAGGAGGCTCCCCAGAACCCGCAGCTGCTTAGGAAACACGGCACTGTCCCCAAATTCACTACCACTGCTCGATATCCCCAGGCCAGGACAGGGGAATAGCTCCTGGGATCTCCAGCCTCTGAAGGGATATTCCAGCCCTCCACTGGGGAGCCCTAGAGGAGCCTTCTCAATTGGAGCAGACGAACCAAGTCTTTGCCTTACCTTTGGCAGAAATTTCCTTTGAGATGGGTGAAGTCTGACATGTATTTAGAGCTCCAGGAAGTATATTTTTAATGTTAAACTTTTCCCCCTGGTCCCCCATTTTTATACACTTTATTCCCATCACTTCCCAAAAGGAGCATTTAACAGCAGCTGTCATATTTTGATGTTACTGGAGGTCCCTCATACAGACTTCACTGACAAACCCTAAGAATCTTCTAATGGAACAACCATTTCCTTACTTAAGACTAATTTTAGCTAAGTAAATGAAGAGCCAAGTTAAATGTCTCATCTCTCTTACACCCCATTATATTCTGTAACAAAGAAAGTGAAAAGAAAAAGGAGCTTTCAGCTAAACTATGCTGAGGAACAGCCCTTATAGTTATCTCTATTTTTTTTTTATAAAAAAGACAAGACATCCTCTCAGTAATTCCACTCTGACAGATCTGGAACATCTGCTGACAGGAGCACATGCAAAGGGAAAGTGGGAGACAGAGTTCTCCAGTGCAGTGCTCCCACTGTATTTCTTTCCAGTCTCTCTATAACATTGCACAAAATTTAGTGCATGAAACATTTTTCTTTTCTTACCTTACCACTCTACTTTGGCAATATACGAATATACTTTTTAAAGCTTACTGTCACTGGAATTGTAATGCATTTTTACCATTTTAATAATGGTTCTTCAAATAACCAACTGTCCTGCGCAGATCCCATATTAGCAATTTTTTCATATACTTCCGAAGTCTTCCTTGCTTACCGGTTTCATATTTAAAATAATGAACAGGTTTCTCATATATTCTAAGAGAACCTGTCAACAATAACAAAGTGCACCACGTGACCTTATTTTAAGGAAGAAAAAACTCTCAACATTGTTGCTTAAGTAATTTTATCAGCCAAATTGTTATAATGGAAAAAAAAATACGGATCAGCCTAAGAAAAAAAGGCAAAAATTATCTGGTAGAAAATGTTAAATTATGATGAAAACCAATAATAAATCCCATGTATGGACACCAGAGTACCATTTAGTGTAGTTCCTCACTGAAAGAGTAGTGTATTCTTTCTGTTTGTGCATGTATAGATATATATATATATATGTATATGCATGCAAACTGTTATATAGCTTCAGAAGAATTTTAAACTGCTTTTATGAAATGGCACCACCTTAAAAAAAAAAGAAGAAAGGAAAAAGTAAATACCTGATGCCTTGTCTCCACATACAACACACAGATCAAACACTTTATTTAGGCCCTGTTCATTGGGGGAGTTGTCTGTTAAAATCTGAAAAAAAGCGTGAAAGAATTTCATTTTTCTTTTTCTTACCATCAAGAATGATTAAAATACATCTCATACTTGTGGTTTTTCTCTAAGACAGGGAACCAAATCTACAAAGTTTTCTTGACTACGTTTTACACTCTTCACAGACACAAAGGAGCTACCTGCCATGCCACTGTGCTCCTTTTAAGGATGGAACAAAAGTTTTACTTGTTATACTTCTGAAAAGAATTCAAGATTTCATTTATCTAAACACTACTTCTGCAAAATGGATCAACATTTTTGATAAACATTTAGCATCTGCATACTCTTACCCTACGTTCAATTTTGAATTTATATCATACTGACTTCTTCACAGTACAAAAAAGACTGAAGTGTTAGACAGATGGAACAAAAAAATCCCTTTTAAAGGCTACTATCTCTACATTCAGGTTTATTAACTCCTTTTTTTTTTATAATACACATAAATGGACCAACAGAAAATGTACTCAGGACACCACTGTTAACTACCAAGTGGTATATAGTTTGGCTTTCACTAACAGTTTGACATTATTATCATTATTATTATCTTGTCTTATTCATTTATCTCTGGTACTTATAAAGCTTCATTAAGCACATAATATTAGAACCCCAGCACTACAGGGGAGGTGCAACAGCCTTCCATTTGATCTTTAAAAACTCTATCCTACTGTGACATAAACAAAGCACAGCAAAAATTCAATTTAAAAAAAGGAACATACATATCACAAGTAACAAGCAAACATCATCTGGACAGAAGCAGAAAAGAAAATATTATTTTCTGTTTAAAAAGAGATTATAGTTAGAAGTTTTAAGAGTTTCTAACTTCTACTGTGTCTTTATGGGAAGTCAGACTCTCTCATTTTTGATTTGCATTTTCAAAACAGGACCTCTGATAAAAAGAAAGGTAACTTACCAAAAGAGAAATTACCCTACCTTCTATAGAGAAAATCAAGAAATCACTTTTTTCAGAAACTTTGGAAGATAGTATAGACGATATATACAGAACATTTAACAAGCATACTTGTTTCTAGCTAGCTTTTGCTAACAATACTGTCTCAGAGATTCTTCTATTCTGTTTTCTTTTAATATAACACCTTTTTAAGAAAAATAACATTGGTGAGTTAAAAGAATATTAACCTTTCAGTCCTTCCTAATTTCCATTTTTCATATTATGTGTTTTCATGATATTCTATAAAATATATATAAATAAATTCTAAGTCCTTCCCTAAATGAAACCTGTACTGAAACGGGAAGTTCCACATAAGGAAGGACTACAGAATTGGGCCCATGAGGAAATAAATATCCCAGACTCAGAGAACTCATCAACTGACCTTGAACATGAGGAATAAAAATTGATTATTAAGATGAAGAAGAGCCACTGAATGTAAAACAGATGATGGGAGAATGAGCCTTGCCAAAAGAGTCAATGTAAAGATAAGATGTAATAAAGGAAAGGTTTTTTTGCCAATTAACGAGCATTTCAAATGAAGGCTACAGAAGAACAACATAAAAGGTGAAACTGCAGATGAAAGGATCGTTTAGGGGAGAAAATATGAAAGATCCCAAGGAGGATGTAGTTGAACAACAAATGAACGGTACTCTGTATTTCATGAACTTTACATGGAAAAAAGAAATCTCTACATATGCTTATTAGCTGACCATAGAACAATCTAAGTAAAGTGACAGAATACTCTATTGCCTCTCAAACCTACCTATTTTGCCTGAACTGTCAATCAGAACCAGAGCTTTCATTTTTTTGTCCAGACTTCTTCTATTCCTGGATTTTGTCTTTTAAACCAGCGTGGCTGGTTTCAAAGCCATGTCTTAAGTTGTCAACAGTATTTTATATGGATTACTTCAAACCATATCCCACTAGTTTATATTTTTGTTGAGGTTTACCTACAATACAAAGTGTATGATACCACTGAACATGCTTAAATGCCTCTCAATAGGATTGGTTTTTGCTACTGCTCCCCTATTCATAGCAATCAAATTCTTTGCAGCAAGGACCTTGGGTGTCCATTTGCAAAGATTTGTGAGTTTCAAAAAAAATATGTAATGTATAATACAGAAATATGTTTCAAGCTTACACAATATGTGGGTAGTGAATCAGAGTGGTGGACTGGCTCCCAGATGAGCGCAAACTCAAAAGATCAGAGGTCTTCAGTTGAAAAGAGACTACTTGACAGAGTCTATAACAGTGATTTATAAAAACAACAGGATCCTTTATAGCTCTGTGTTATACTGCAAGAGATGCCTCATTAAATACTTCTCTCAGAAGATCAAATCAACTAAAGTATTCTTTGCACATCATACAACTATACTATAGGAAATTATGCAGACCAAAGCATAGATGGTCTGTATAAACAAAAAAAAAGGTTGTTAAACATCAGTGGCAGCTATCAAATATGATGGTCTCACTGCAGTCTCCAAAGCACGAGGTTGCTCTAAATCATCAGCTAATGGCAGTGAAAGGATATGCTCAGAAGGATCATTATTTACTTGTCCAGTTTTTAATGTTTTTCCTTAAGCAACTACTTCTGGTCATCATGTAAGTGTGATACTGGGCTAAATGGACTATACACACCGATGTATTTTAAAAGCGTTAACTGTAGACAGGTAAAAAATATGCAATAACTACACTTTAGCTGTCGTGCAGTAATCTACTTCATGCTGAAGGAGCTCGCACCTCCCAAGTCTTGTGTGCATGTTCTCATCCGTGCCATCCCATCCTCGCCAGGTGAGGATATGGGGCAGAAAGCCTGGAAGCTGGGGAATGAGGCACATAGAACGTGCATGGGAGTAAAGTGCACTGGGGCTCAGTCTGGGGAGTTACAACCCTGACCAGTTACAATCTCACAGCAGTAAACCCAACATGTTCAGTGTTATTTTCCCACCCCACACTGAGTAATGCACTTCCCTACTAAATAGCCTCTCTGACAAACTACCTTGGAGTACAGTTCACAGAGCTGAACAGTAGTTACAACAGCGTAGGAAAAGGAAAACAAGCAGAAGGAAATGTTAAGTGATAAAGACGATGGAGGAAAGAGTATGTTTTTCAACGATACTTGAAAACAGACGGAAACTCAATGAAGCAGAAACAAAGCACTGTTGGTATGGCAGGAGCTGGAAATGACAATAAAAATAACAGTATTCTTTCTAATGTCATAAGCCAGGGTATTAATTTTAAAAGCAATAAATTTACCAAAAAAAGAGAAAAGTTTTCCTCATAATTTCTAAATATTCATGTCAAGCCCTAGTGCAAGGAAAAGCATACCATTACAAAAAAAAGACTCAAAAAAGGAGAACGCAGACAGACATATTTGGAAATAAAACATCTCTTCTCATCCCATTTGAATCAAAATTATGAAATAAAGTGGATTATCTACCTGGATGTGTTGTGCAGATATATCAGGGGATGCAAAAAACAGTTGGTTGACACCTGCAGCATCTGGAGTTGCTAGGATAACTTTTCCTGGAGTGGAATCTTGTCTGGCAAGGATCACCTTGCTTGGGGTAGAGCCATCATGATTTGTTAAGATGAACTGCTTGCCTGCTGAGCTCTGATCAAGTGCTGTAACAATCTGAATCTTCTGGCCCGTCTGCTGATCTGTGACAATCTAATAATACATTTATCTCATATTGTTAGGGTAATTTAAGTTCACCTTTGGGGCCCAATCTGGGCACTTAAAGAAAATGGGAATTTTGCCTTTGACATCTGTGAATCAAGGAATCAGAGAAGCAGGATCGTCTTCCCCTCTGTCACACAAGAGTGAAGGCAACTCAGGCAAAACCTTGGATTTCCACTGTATTTGAAACACACTTCAGTCAAGGGCGTTTGAAGTCAAAACCTTCATTCTCAAGTTTTACAACTGGCCCGTGCTTCTACAACATTACTGAAACCCTTGACAATTCTAGCACCCAGAATTCCAGGTACATCTGTAGCTCAGCCCTGGGTTATGAGAAATCTTAACTCTTGAACTCACTGAATCCCACATGCAGTGCTTCGCACCTCCCACATCTGGCTGCTTAACAAGAAGCTTCCTAAAACCACAACTGTAGACTTCCAAAGGAAAAAGTAAGCACCAAACAGGAAGAGAAGCAATAATCTTGTTGCATGTATATAGACATTTTAGGCTTAATTTTTGAGGAGCTTTTTATTTACATATATATTCCTAAATAAAATAAGTAAAACAAAATCTCTCTCCTTGCCACTTATTCTTTTTTTAAAAGGAAAAACTTATTTTCATGTTTCATTTCATAATCAAGACCAGACCTACAGATTGTTTTTTCCATTTTATCCCTATTTTCAAGCACAAATACAGCAGAACTTTATTCAATAATCCTCCACTAAACGCCATTTTTTGCCAACTTTGTCAGGAGATTATAATCCTCAAAGAAAATAATCAAGATTCCACGTATCTTCCATTACAAATCTTACTTTCAGCCAGTTCCTGCCTTTCTCCATCAAAATGCTTATATAGAAAACTTCCTGGTTTATTCTGGACACTAAGGAGAATCATCCTACAAAGACTGTTTCCTGCAACCTATTTTTGAATTACAGATCAATAAAATAGCTCCAGTGATTTTTTTTTTTCACTATAACCAAACATTTATGTCCATATACCCATCCCTAACATTTATATGGTCCTTATTACTGATGAAATTATTTCACAATCTAACACTTATCATAACTAGTTTCATGTAATTAGGGCAGCAATATTAATAATATTTTCTAGGTGGAGAATGGGCACAAAGAAACTGACTGAGGCCTAATTTCACACAAGTCTTTATCAACTTTGCTATTGCACCTTCACACCTAGCTTTTTACTTCCTCTGAATGTTCAATATACTTAAATTTGTTTCAAAAACCTGTGTATAGCTTATGTTTTCAAAAGATAAGCAGCGAGAGAACAAAAATTATTGGGTATCTAATTTCAGCAGTTATAAATCAATATTGCCACTTTCAAATGTTTAGAAATTATGAGTTTCAAAATATACAAAAGGAATGTGTTTCCTTCTGGTAGCCTTTTGCTATTAACGTTTTTATGGATCAAATTTCAAAGTTTTTCTCTGCAAAACACAATTAAAAGCTTATTTAAGAGAGAAGTCCAGGCAAGCTGATAAAATTCCAGAGGCTAAAGAACTAAGAAAAGAACATAAATTATCATGAGATTTGGGGTGTACGGTGGGAAGATAACACAAAAACCCACAATAGTTATCAACATGATTAGTACAGGGATTTCTGTTCAGTTTTCTCAGATATCCATGCGTCCAGGACCACAAATGACTACAGTAGTTTCTTATTTCCTCCTTTCAATTTATGTTGGTTCCATATTCTTTAGAAGGCAAACTTCCTTGCCCTTTTAATTCCCTTCTTTGCTTAACTTTCTCCTTCCATTCCATTTTTCTTCATTTTACAGTCTTTATTTCTCCCGTGTCAAAGATATTCTTATCTAAAATGTTACACTGTCAAAACTTAAAAGTGCAACTGTATGTACCTCAAAAAAAGCGATATACTTTAGTTAGCTAGGTTTATACAAAGTATGGTATAAAATTAACTAGAAATACAGCATGTCCCAAACAGTGAAGATACAAATTTGAACTAAAGTTGAAATTATTTTTTGGATATATATGCTAAATTATCTACTTTCATACTACGGTCCAGCTGTATTTTTAAAAGGTATATACCTGTAGAAAAACACGGCAGGACAGGAGGCAGAAGAACCCTTGCTACTTCACACAATTCACTTTGCCTCCTATTTAACAAAGAGTGTCCCAATTCTTCAATTGGCTTCCTGCAATTCTAGGGGGATGCCCACGTAGTTTTCACTGCATGATATAGTAGGTAGAGTGTTATGTTAAAATTGCTACAAAGCCATTCAATCTGCACAAATGGTTTCTGCAGCTGTCAAGCATTTCACAGCGGCATTAAAGAAAGTAGTTTAAATAATTAAGCCCAGTTTGTCTGCAGCTGACCTCTTAACCGCCATATACCTGCAAAAACTATACCTAAATCGCAGTGGGACTCAATGGGACACCAAAGTATAATAGCCTGCCGTACCTAAATGTTGAGATAAGAGAATAAAATTATGAGAAAAAAAAAGAAAACCACTTATCTTCTCAAGGGAATCCATCAGGGCTCAGTGATAACATATTATATTTCTTAATAATATCTAAAACTAAATGTTGCTAAAGGGATCATCCTATAACACAGGACTATATTAATTCAGGATTGTCTGCTTAAAAAATACACTTCCGCCGTGTATTTCATCGAAGCACTCTCATGATAATGGAGGACAGTATTTTCCTTTAGTGCTTTTAAGCCTTGTCTACTAACAAGTTTTGACTTACATTTGAACATCATTTCAATAAATTAAATACCTCAATAACTCTTCGTGCCTACTCTAGGGAAAAAAGAAAAGGGTCTAAGCACAGAGGACTAATCCATCTGTTTGTAACAGAACTAGTTTTGAGCCCAAATGTCTGTGTAACAAATGTGACACTCAACTTTTATCCTAAAGAAGCAAAATGTTAGTATTCCCCACAAAGGGTGACTAATGAAACATGTTTTAAAGAACATTTTACTGAGGACTTTGTATTTCAGGATTTCGGATAATTATTTATGTGCATTTAAAATAATAAAGGAAAAACATTGATTAAAAATATAAACTCAAAAAGATTCAATTTAACATTTATTCTGAACGTTTCACTGAGATGTGTATGTTCCTACAAACTATTTTACTCTTCATATAAAATCTGCTTTAAGAAAAGTTTTCATTACTAAGTTCTATCTCACATCTAGTTTATTATTATTTATATTGGTGACATGTTGGTAGGTGCCTGTTGCTGGAAGGATGCCATTCTACTGAATGCTGTCCCACACATATCAAGAGACAACCCCTGCCCCAAAGCGTTTACCATCCACTTTGAAGACAGAATCAATGAACATGGCAAAAAAAGACAATGAACAAAGTAGCTGGGTTACAAACAAGTGATCTTCTAGCTACATGAGACGATGAAAAACTATATTAAGGTTCCTATCCCTAGAAATACAGTTCTTCCATGTTCATCACATTTTCAGCAATGCCTAACCAAAAGTATTCTTCCCCTGCCCCACGAAAAAAGGTGACCCACAGGGGTTAGAAGTCTGCCACTGGCTTTGAACCAACAGTCCTGTCCTGCTATTCAACAATAAAGGCTCATGGGTTTATATGTCATCGTCCCACAGTCAGACCCTGATGCTGAAAATACATTAAATGGCTTCAGACTACAGCGACATTATAGCATACAGGTGTTGACAAGGAAAACGGAGGATAAAGAGATGGCGGTTAATTGATTAACATATATAAGTTAATAAAAGGTACAGCTGTACACAGAGTGTAGAAAAGGAATGGAGGTAGCTGAAAGAATAAAGATCTATTGAATAGATAAGACTGGTACCATGACTAGAGCGCAGGCAGCGGGTGATAAAACAAAACAAAAGATCGTGTATGGCGGGGCAGGTGTGAAGAGTCTTGGAAGGCTGAAAGCCTGGATGCAGTGCACCGAAACAGGAAAAAACAGTGGAAAATATTGAAGAGTGAAGCCAGAAGAACAAAAAGCAGCCAAGATTATGCTAGCAGCTGGCTCACTTAAATGAGAGTGTTTTTGTATGCAACAACATATATCTGAGGATATTTTAAAAATTTATTCTGCAGTTCATATTTTTCTCTTGGATAAAATTTAAAACTAAAACGTTTGCAAAGACTTGCCTGAATTCTAAGATATAAAATATAAAGTTCCATTCCCCAAATCCTCTTTATCTCCATATACACGTATCTATGTTGATACAACTACCCACATTGCCAAAAACTTCCTACCCTCACTTGGAGATTATTAACTGGCCAGGCTATAAATTAGCACACCGGGACAGATACCATTGGTTGGGACAACCAAAAACCAGTATCTTCCTCAGACACTAGGTTGCCTTGCACTTTTTCCTGACTTTTATCAGTGATACAATGCCGTATTTCCCTTCCTCCCTGCTCCAAAATGTAGAAACGTTCAACAACTCAGTTGAATTACCAAATCTAAAAATTATGCCGTTCTTAAAGAGCAATATTGTTATAGCATTGGGGAAAGTTTTTTTCTGTTCAGTGGTTATAATTTTTTTGTAAATCTAAAAATTCTTAGGAGAGAAAAAAAAGAAAATTGGAATGATGTTTTATTCCTGTTTATACAGAAATGGTCTCTGACATCCAGAGCTGAATATTTACATTCAAGCAAATAATATGATGCAAATAAAAAAGAACCATATGTGAAAACTCGCAGAAGTAACAGTCCATCTCTGCTTTTAAAATATATCAGATGAAGCATACCTGTATACGTTGTGGTAAAGAGAGGCCTGAATCTGCAGGGACGATCTGTATTCGTTGTGGTGTCCCATCCATTAGTGTTTGTGTAGCAGCTTCCTGGGAATGGGTAATCTAGAAGAAAAAAAAAGAAACAAATGTAATGGATTGACAATGGACATCCTTAGGGATGAATACGCCACCTTAATGGACAAAACCCTAGGGTTTCACCAACTTCTGATTTCTCTGCACAAGGCAATAGAAAGTCTGAGACACTCTTACTGTATAAGGAATGCAACTGCTTGCAATCTAATTTAATAGCTTAATTTTGATAGTTATAAAATTCTATTTGTTTCACTGTTTTAAACCCATTTTGAAACACCTTCCAATTTGAAATTTAGAAACACATCAAGTAAAACAATTCAATGTTGACAAGTTCATGTAAGTCAATCAGTATTTATTACTGTTGATGTTCCTGAGACACGGACTAAGCACAATACTTTTCATCATAGCTGTGCTACATTTACACTAAAATATTTTTACTTCAATGTCTTAAAGTGACAAAAGAATTTTTGTGTGGCAACATAGCAATTGGCCTTTTCTGTTCTTCTGCTAAAGCAGTAAAACCAGAGCAACAGAATTCCATACTGGAAAACTATGAAGAAAGTTAGAGAAAATTAATGAAATGCATGAAATAGGCAAGAAGTGTATCTTACAACAAATATAAATCTCTGTGTGAATGCTCTTGGACACAATTTGTGGAAGTGCTTTAACAATTATCAGTATTTTAAAAATTCTTCACATGCTATAGCCACAGGTATATGGGGGAAGAAGTTATTCATTAAATTATCTGCCAATGAAAATTAAGAAGTACAGCTGCTACGTGCAGAGGCTTGGTCAGAAAGGCTGGACTTTTTGTAGTACAAAGGAAGTTTGTCTTCATAGTGTTTACAGATACCTTCAAAATGAAATCTTTGTTTAAAATTCCTGAACTTTTTGCAGTTCAAAATCTCTGGAACATCCTGCAATTCTGTATAAATAATAATTCTCAGTATTTACACCATCATAAAAATGCTCCTCTTCAACTGCTGCCCTTCCTCCCCTCCCAAGAATTAATACAGAGAATATAATTGTACATCTGCAGTAAAGGTACTGTTTCCTAACAGGTTGAGAGCTTTTTTGTTCCTCCTGGATGCTGACTTTGCAACCACCCCACCAGGTAAATGTTAGTACCAGCAGAAGAAAGGATGCAAGAACACACAATGGGAGGTGAGGATGAGAAGGGGAAGGAGCGGTGGGTAAGACTTCCCCTTACAGCAGAAATACAAGCTCTTATCAGCCTAATAGCCGATTTTGAAATTTTACCTGAAAACGCATTACTTTTGGTACCAGTCTCAGCTCTTACAATTTACTCGCTCCCATCTCTTCAGCTTGGGAGGTGAAACTGGTTGGTTAGTCAGCCAGTGATACGGAACGGGACACTGATGCAGGTTAAAAAGCAGCCCAGCAAAGAGACAAACAAAGGCTATTCTTAGCACAGATCAAACCTTCAATCCAGATCTCCCCAGTGCTCAGAAGCAGACGCATCAGAGCAAATGAGAGAGTGGGATTAAGCTGCTGGGGGCATCGCTTAAACTGCCAGCAGCATCAAAAGAAATGCTTGTCAAACTACTGCAAAAGCCGTTTTGGAACACTGCTTTCTAAAAATACCAGATCTTTCATGAGTATGAGTATTTTCCATACTCAAACAATTCATCTACTTCTTTGCTTAAGGACAAAGAAGAGTTTATTATACAGCAACATTCAGAGTTTGAGAGAGATACTTTCAAGCACTAAAATTCTGCATCAGCCATTCAAGTGACATGTACACGTGGTGATTTACAAGCAATCGGAGCTTTATGTGCATTTATCTTTGCTTTACATAGCCATATATTCTATACATACTTTATGCTTCCTCCCTTAAAACATCATGATCTACATGTCATGTAAGGCAAAACTGCTCTTTGACTGTCAGCTTGACAGTTTTACTTCTATACAAATAAAGTTTTTTATTGCAGTAAAAAAAAATACTGATAAGAATAACCACAGTATTTGTTAAAAATTATATTTTTATGTATATGATAGACTCTGTCTTGACAAATACGTAACTTTCCTCTGCTACTGTTATCTGGCAGGACTGTGAAACCAAACCACCATATACTTAGTGTACCCAACCACAGATTAAAGGAAAAAGATTGCTGCGGGCTCTTGACAGACAACCTCCCTACCTGAGAAAAGGAATGTGATCTTGGTGTAAAAATATCAATTATCTCACACTCAGCAAAAGATGATTAGCAGTTGGCAGAATTTCAGAAAAGATAAACATTGTGCAATCCTCCATATAGGCAAGGCTACAAATTTTTATTTTAATAAATTTTTCTTTTATGCAAAAAAGCCATAAATTAACAAAACCATGTTTGTGAACATCATCATAAAATCTTTGTGATAACTTAGTGTTTTAAAATGCTTCACGAACAAGAATTAATATTATAAAGAAAACAAAATCTGTCCCAGAAACTTCTAACCATTATTTCAATGAGTCACAGAAGCACCTTCCATTCTCCTCAGAACGGAAACCATTGTCTTTTTCCTTTCATGTAAATCTTTCTTGTAAATTCAATTAAAACTATTTCAACGTTCAAGAGAATTACAAACGCTAGCAAAAATACCACTTAAGTTCCACAAACCTTTAACTATGGTTTTCAAGGCTTACATTGAATACAAACAACACCATGCAACTATAGCCAGTAGGTCACAGGCAGGTAGGAATGCATGATATCAAGGCCACTTTCCTTGCTGACTCCACACCTTTGACAGTAATTTTGGCTTTCAGAGTCCCACCTTGCAATGCCCAGGGTGATGCTTTCCGGTCCTTCTAGCCACGTGCCACGTGGGGCTGCACCTTGTACCACATAAGGGAAATGACTCCAACTGGGAGGGAGAAGACCTTCATCCACTATCCAGTAATTATTTTTCTTTCCCAGTTTTGTGTACCACACATTAAAACACAGAGTGTAATGGCTCCGGTACTCATTAGAGCCTTCTCAGACCCTACTCAATGCACTAACTCAGCAGAAAACCTTCCACTTGTTTTGGCTGGGTTAGCTTGCTGCTAGCGTGGAAATTAAATAAGGTAAGAAAAAGAAATGGGACTTTCCTTCTCCCATGGCACTGAGATACTACGTCAGCTCACTGTCTCATGAAATCACATTATGAAATTGAGAAACAACCCTCACAGAAGCTGAACACCATCATCACACCATCCTCTGTTCCAAGTAGAATGTACACTTCAGCTGGCTTTGACTAGCCTGTAGTTAAAAAAAAAACACCCAAAACCCCAGGAAATACAGCCCTATTTAGACCTCAACAAGAAATTAAAATTATATTACAAAACCAAAACTACACTAGACATGCCATTTTCATTTATAAAGAGAACAAGCGAGAGAAAGAAAACACCACACATGATGTAAATAATTTATGTCCTTTAAGACAGCGTTCACAACACTCAGATGCTACAACAATAAAAACTGTAAGAATTTATTCAGAATAGAATTAACTATCCTGTCCCCATCCCCAATCTTTCTATTTGAAATCAAGACTAAGAGGAACTAAAATTACTTGAAAAATAAGTCCATGTCTAGACAAGGAATGAAGAGTGGATATTTCAAGCTAAAATTACCAGTTATTTAAGATAAATAAGATACTGCTTGTACCTAATTTAGAGCGGTGCTAATTTTAAATGGACTGCTAAGATTAAATTGTGCATCTCCGGGAGTTCTCTGGCTGCAGTACACAGATTCTGCACACAGGTTACAGAAAATGAAAACCAGAAGTTCACAGAAACAAGAGTTCAATCTTCCTTTTGGCTTATGCCAAACACCAACAAATATTTCACAGGGAAGAGCATGGCAAACCTTTAGTCATGAAAACAAAAAAGACAATGGAAGCAGTTGCTTAATTGGAAAGTAAAAGGTATATACTGATCACTCTCTTGATTGTAAATTTTCTAACTGAAACTGAGCAAAGCAATTGTACAAGCAGAGGGCTCTCTGAAGACCACTCCCCAAAAAGCAGAGCTGAACAGCCAGTCACTTACTGGATTCCTTAGCTTCATTTCTGTGGGGCAAACTTTGGCAAGAAAGACTTTGCAGCCCAACTTTAAAACAGACATAGTAAGATTTTCTAGCCTTTCATGGGAGAGTCTTTGGAAGCTTTGGGTGTAGTAAAAATTATTTTCTCTGCGATTTTGGTTTTCACATATCAGTCTGTGCATTTTATTATTCAATGTCTCTTAAATAGGACTCAAAATTTATGTACCTCTCCCATTTGCTGTTCAATAATTTGATGGGCCAGTTCCTCTATGGTTGCCATGATCTTTAATCACCAGAATTTCCTGTCAAAGAAAGGAGAGAAGATGCTTAACATCTATAGCCTCAAAAGTAAAAACATCTTGGGGAGAATATAGTTCACATAAGTAAAATAAGTTCATAGTTGTCTGAAGGTGACATCCCTACAGAATTTAAAGTTTGATTATACTATAAAAGTAATCATTTTCTATTTGTCAACGTCTGTATCTTTTTCCTCAAATAACTCACATAGTGGCTTCCTATTCTTCCTCCTCTGCTCTCTTAAAAAGCAACAATATAATAAACTCCCTGTGAGAACAGAAGCGTATTACTGACCATGACATCAGCAGGGACATAATTGACATCTTAAAAACTGGAACAGAGCCAGTTTTGTTAATGGAAATCAAGGGGGGGAAATCTAACTTCTTCTGAACTCATACTGATTTTTCAGTATTAACAGGAGTGCTTAAATGTCTATTTTGTAATTAATAGAAGGCACTACTTGGAAGGCAGAAAACACATGTTTAAAAAAAGATGCTGTTTTGCCATCAATACTGTGTTGCAGCATAAGAAGTCCAAATCTCCATAAGAAGAATTTTCTAGGCACTACTACATTAATGCAGTATAAAGTATTCAGATGCATGCCTTGTTTGTTTGGGTATCAGTTTACAAATATTCACTAGGCAGTATTTAAAAGGAACATATACAAATTATGAAGCACCATAAACACTTAATTTTCCTAACAAAGGCTGTATTAAAAACACTGTAAAACTTCTCATAGGAACAAAACGGTTCTCTTGCACTAATGGATTTGTCTATGTAATAAATTTGCTTTGTTTCAAATATACAAGGCACTCAGGTTGTACAGCCTCCTCATTGCAGATGAAGTTACAAAGATGCTTAATACCAACACACATATTCCTGTATTAACATAAGAATTAGTGGTGTCAGTATAAAGGATTTTTTACATGGTATAAAAGATTTGTTTGTTTATTTATTTATTTATTTCATATGCAGGAATGGTGCTGTGCAACCATACAACAGACTGCTAATGAAAGAAGTTACATGAGTAGAAAAGATCTATCTAAATATATATAGCTAGTTGGTTTTCATGCTAACTTTGCTAGAACTCCTAGGATCTAGCTCCTACCCTAGTGATCTCTAAACTTTCTCCATCAACTATGCAAATATAACCGTTAAATCATTTTGGAGCTCACTCTGCTTTTATAATTGGAAAGAGATACCTCTTCTGACTAGGGCAAGAACTGCAGGCCTTGGAAGCGTGCATAGCGGTATACTAAATCCTGACTGATGTATGGAAGACTATAGAAATATTTGGGCACCGTAAACCATTCTTAATCACCCACCAGCATGCTGCACTGTTAGTTCAATTAAGACAAAAGATGACAGACATACACATAAAACATATGAGACTGAAGCTTATGTTGGAAAGTATTATCTCCTTAGAAGATCTAGTAAATGTCAGCACCCTCACAGGCGCACCCTCTTAACACACTTCTGCACGCACTGAGCTGCAGCACTGTCACTATTCAACTCAGCCAACCTATTCCATCAGATGTTTTCTTCTTTTAAATAACATACTTACTAGCAACAAAATATTGCATTGTTTACACACACAGCGCCAGCAATCAGTACTATCACATAAAAAAGACACACACACACGCAAAAAAGAAAAGCTAAACATCTTAAAAGCAAATCAAGCAAATTAGAGAATTATTTAGTAAGTCAGACATACTTTTGGGAAAGAGAGATGTACTTTTTGCAAAGAGTAATTTCAGAGGAAGATCTTAACGTTTTGTGGCAATTTGACATACCAGAAATATTGTGCATATGATGATTTTTTGCAAAATAATAAAAGTAAGCTACCTAAAAGGCTTAAATTCTAGTCCGATCTCAGAGCTGATCCCACTTTGAATGAGGTTTTGGACTGGAGACCCCCTTGATATCCCCATGCACCTGGAATATTCTACAACTCAAAAATGCACTGTTTTCTTAGATACTGAAACAACAGTTGCTTGCAATTACAAAAAAAAATCCCCAATATTTTTAAAGCAGTTTGATTTGCAAAATCTTTTGACCGCCTCCATAGAGGTCTACTGTGCAGGTATTTTCAAGGACACAATAAACAACTATCTAATTTTAAAGTTTTACTTCACTGAGTGTCTAGTTTAAAGAGCTATGCACAGGAAAGCTTATTTTGAGCATTTTAAACCAATTTTATGGAGAATACGTGTTTCCCTATGTTAGCCTTTTGAGACAGCAGTAACATCTTCCATTCTGCAATCACTATCTCTAGCATTTTCTACAGCATTTTCCCGAAAGAAACTAAACTGTATCAGTATCATTTTCCCATCAGAAAAGCTAGGTCTATAATCTTTTGCATAACAAAGCATGATCATGACCACCTCAATTTTAGCCACATTTACTAACAGAGCCTACAGTACTTTATTTTATGCTTTTCTAAAACTTCTAGTGTTTTGCCCTGCAGAATTAGCATCTTCCAACAAGACTACTGAATACTAATTATTACTGCTATAGCTGTGTTGCACCAGCTCAGCAGCGCATGGAAATTAACAATATAGTACAGTGAAAAGAAAAGCTTAATTTACTGTTTATCTAGTAAAAGTCTGCAGTCAAATACTGAACTTGCACAGGAGGCAAAATCTGCAAAATAACTTTTACAGAAATTGACTCAGACATGAATTAAAAATCCGTACCTATCATATCTGTGGCACTGAAAAATTATCATTAAAGACTCTCTTTAATGTTTTCTGTCATACAATTAGTTTAAATTAACATATCAACACATTAATGTTTTTGCCACAAACTCAGTAACTGAAAGATGGGGAGATCTGATTTCTCCAATCCTTCACGAGTACTTTGTCCACAATCTTAACACAGAGAAAGGTTTTTTCTTTTTAATGTAGGAGACTCAACACTACCTTATTCAAAACAAATCTGTCACCAAAAGGGCTAGCCCTAACCTATTTCTTGGCCTGGGTTTCCAGCCTCTCTTCCCGGTACCTGCACTGCTACAGCTGTAATTTCACAGCCAGCAGCAAAGTTTTATTTTTGTCTGTGTTAGTTCTCAGCCCAAGGAATGACTTGCACTTGCTTTATTACCATGCAAACACTACTGCTGTACCAGCGGTGGAGAGGAACTGTAGATCACACCTTCACACAGCAGCAGCAATTTGCATCATCTTAAGCCATCTGAAGTCTCCCATACTTTCCCACAGCTCTATAAATTGTTATGAGATGAGCCTTGGAAATACGACACGTGTATTTTTGGATCTTACAGATGAACCTGGTGAAGAAACAAGCAACACAGGATGAAAAAAGCAACATACAGCTATAGGACAAAACAGGCAACACGTATGATAGTGAAGTGGCCCAGCAGAGACTTCTGGTCCATAAGCTAAAGTATTGTATAATTAGGAGATTGACAGGGATCCATCTTCTTGCCTCATCCCCTATTTCTAGGAATGGTATTATTTTCTAATTATGAGAACCTCAATAACTCAAAGCTACTTTTAAGAACAATGTGAGGAAAGCGGCACAGTTATAAAAGTTTCCCACGTGAGCTTATTTACAGCTAATCGTTGTGTTCTCTAGTAGAAATACCCTTCAGCATAGACTTTTCAACCTCTTATTAATTACCCCTCCAATTAACAGATATTGACCTTTTGAAGTCCCAACACAGAACTAAATGGCGTCTCATCTTTGAGATGTTGGACTTTGTGTTCTTTGCCATACTGCCACATCCTCACCAAGTGCATGGGGAGAACTGGTACTGGCCATGGCAGAGCTCTGTATTGGTGCTAACAACTGTCTGTAACAAGATCTCTCTCTCGTGAGCAAGACGAATAGCTACCAGAGAGAGCAGGCATTTTTACATTATTAATTCAGTGTTATCAAACAGCGCTAATAAAATATTGAAAATACTCAGCTCTCTCAAATCCAGAACCGGCCATAGGCATCCTTTATTCTTGCTGTTAAGAGCAATGTAAGTATACTCTGTTTAACTCTGAAGAGCAGTGGAAGAGATTTTCTACAAGAGATTCCCCGTCTTGATGATGCTTTTTTTTTGCAGGAATTCTAAGTCAGTGATGAGACAAAAAGTAGGAAGGAATTTGGAACAGAATAAGAGTGTTACTCAATCACAATCTCCAAGATCTTCTCAGTTATAGCAATATAGTCTAAATGGCCCCAGAATAAACAAAGTTAAAGAAAAAACTAATGGCAGTGGTAAGCAAATTCTCTGTTTAGAATCAAACTGCTTTAATGGTGATAACTGTTAAATCAAAGCCTAATGAAATGACAATGAACTATGAAAGCCTGACTAGATAATATTCCCAAAGCAAGTGATGCTCCTATCTTTCCCCAATCAGAAGAATTTTACTGGTTAAAAGATTTTCTTTAAAAAGCGATTCTCAGAAGCAAGAGAGAGAAACCTGTGTTCACATAAGTTTTCAAACCCAGGTATTTCTGAACTTGAAGAATGTCACCTCTCTGTTCAAAGCACCTTCAAGGAGGTTTTTCCTCTATCTTTAGAGAATGACTTGTAAGTGGCACAGCTCTCAGATAAAACATCCCTCAAAAAAGCATAACAAACACTTAAGTACCTATCATAGAGGGTGTCAACTACCACATAAGCACAGCTTTTAAGAATGCTGCTTTTAACATTAATGTTTCACTGTACACCTGACAGTGCATTTTAGAAAAAAAAAAAATCCTCTTTTACCTACAAGTAGTTAACAATAAAAACTGAGAAAGTTAGAGGGAAACTCATCTTGAAACTGCATACATTCTTGACCGTAGCAATGAATTCACCAGCTATGAAGTACTAATCCAGTGTATCCCAATATATATATATATATCCCAATATATTGTTGAGACACAGAAACCTCAAACCAAACCAAAAGCTTTTCAGCTGCTTATCCAATTGTTCTGTGCTGCTGGTTAGCTCATCCTGCAGCTCTGAGGCACGCTTCTGCAGTGTTATCCTGGCAGGAAACAAAAAGACTGACCTTCAGAATCCGGAGGTGTGTGCTTTAAGGCATTACTTTGCACCTGCTGGTTTGTTCTTCTAAAGCAGATGCGACTGCCCTCACAGCTAAGATGTACGAGTAAAACAAGTTAGCTTAAAAACTGAAAGTGATTTAAACTGACATGTTTTACCTTGCAGTAAAGCAGTGATGGCATATAACTTGTATTCTACTGTGATGCTCCAGCCATAGGGAAACTATCTCACAAAGAGGCATAAACCATTAGAAGTGAATTTGTGGAACTTTATCTAAAATAGGCATCTGTTTCTCATTTGAACTAGACTTGCAAGAACAGAGTACTTCAAGCATACAAACAAGACTGAACTCTTACGATGAAAAGGAATCTGGAGAACAGGTTGAGGCTGTCCTATGTCTTCATGCATGTTAGCATACCTTTACAAATATAAAAAAAATCTCAACACAGTAACTAGGATCTCTCCTAGTTATAATTCATATCAGTACCAACTGACAACTGCTACATTATGAAAGAGCTATGAAAGCAGTTTTGTTAATTAGTGTTTACAACAGTACTTGATGCATCGTAAGAGTATACTCAGTTTTTCTGCATTTTCATGCATGCATTAGAACTTGACAATTTGCGGCGTCTTGATGTGACATTTATCATCACTTGAACAAAAGGAGGGGGCTATTAGCTCTTCATATTAGTATGTTGAAGTTTTGTCATTCAAAGCCACCAACAAATAATAAAGAGAGAGAGAGATCGCTGAAGTTTTTGGCATGAAGAATCATCTTTCTGGTGAGGCCTTATTTATTTTTCACTGCAAATTCTGTTTTTGAGGGTATTGAGCTTGTGATTACATGTTTTTGAGGATATATGGCAGAGATGTAAAATTCTTGAGTTATAAATACTGATAAATCCATTTATGGAGAAGTTGTGAAACTTCAATTGTTTTGACTCGCAAATTATGAAGGTCAAAAACTGAATTAAGTTAGAAACAGTCCTATTACAGGCATAAAATGTACTGCTGCATTTATACTGTTGCAACATTGCATTTTTAAACTTCTGTAGTGAAACAAGCCTGTAAACAAAACTAAGACTTTTTAAAACGGTTAATTGCCAATATATGCCTCTGAAGATTTTTAATTTCTTTTCAACGCACTGACTTCCTAAGACCCATGTACATCAGGCCTGATCTATGATCTGAAGATGTGATCTTATGCTTCCTTCACTTCAGCAAGTGAAATTCCTTTGTGTACACAAAAACTGGGAAATTAATAGTCCTTAGCACTCAGTCCCACTACAGCTCTTGCTGTTGAGTAAAGCTGGTCCAACTTCAGCAGTGCTTATAAGCAGAGGCAGCATAGCTTGGAGCACCCTTCTGAATTAATCCTCCATCTCATCTTCTCATCCAAAGTGTACCTGTGGATGAGCTACTTCTGCACTGGTTGCTGAATCACCAGAGACCAGTGCACTATTCTGAAGTTTGCCTTTACCATTGTGTTAAAATGCCATGCAGTAAACAGTAATGCTCAGCAACTGGCTCAACAGCACCTATATTGTAGGTGGGACGATGGCTAGGAGTGCCGTCAGGAGTTGCACTGATGTCCCTGATGAGGTTATCAGAGCCCTTAAAGTAGAGTGCAATCTAAATTTTGGCCTGAGGAGATGGAATTTCCACGGACTTCAAAAAAAAAAATCGTGATTAGTGACACTGAAACTTGCAAATATGATGTTCAACTACATCCTAAACTAAGGCTAATAAAAATCTGGCTCCTCTCTCGTTTACCTGATACGGCACAAGTGAGGCTGTGGCTCATGTTGGTGCACAACTTCATGTATCACACACCCGTCTTTTGTAACCAGTGTGACTTGTAATTACATACAATGAAAAAGTGCAACATTTTACAGGATTATTCCTTTATATTTTCTCTTTTTTTTTTTTTAATAATGTGAAATTAGAGTATTATTAACAAGAATTTACAGATCAATTACATGATGTTTTATATTTTGACACCTGAAATTTCAAGTTGCATAAACATTCAGTAGTAAGTTCTTTTGCTTGCTGTTGCTTTATTTAACCCAGTGGTCCCTAAACACAAGGGCACTAATTGACAAACCCAGTATTTATAACAATAGTACTCCGGAATGAAATGCCTTAACTTAAATCACCTCCAATAAACCATATGACTTTGCTCTGAAGAGCTTGTATAATGATGAAAAAAACACACCAACTTCAATGTTTACATGATAAACTTTCAGGCAACATTTCAGGCTGCAGCTCAACTGCAGAAATGGCTGGCTGAAACGGCTGGCTGAAACAGGCATTCCTATCCCATTCCCCATTTTCACTTTATTATTTCATCTCTTCTTGTGCTGGCATTGACATACACATAATGCCCTGAGCAGTCAGTTCAAGGAACTCATCTGGCAGAAACCTCTTTCTTATTTGTAGAGTCAGGGCACAGTTTCAACGGCAGCTTGAACAGAATTACAGTTCACCCCTGGGGAGGAGATCCTGCTGACCCTGACCAATCTGTGGTGGTGTTGACCACACACTAGGAAAATTCAACTCACTAAAAAGACAGAAAACTAACCTAGCAGAAACACACCAAATATCTACTAGGTGAGCACACTGAGCTAATAATTTACTTCGCAGTCAGATTCATTCCACCACAGACAAAAGGGAGAACATGTTGTTAGAAGTCAAGGGAAGGAGGAAAAAACGGAAGATGAAGGGGGAGGCAAACCTCCCTTTCCATCATTGTTGGTGGGGAACTGGTAATTCAGTCTAACCGCACCATGAAACTGTACCCTCTGTTTCTGGCCCATCCAGCTGTCTGGCACATGTCCCTGTGGAGACAGACAAGCAGCAAGGTCGGATACCTGCTTGGCTGTACTTGATACTGGAGACGAGGGGGCTGGACAAGTCAAGGAGAACTGGCCATCAACAACTTCTAAGCTAACTTTGGGACAGACGTAAGAAGTTTAATAGTTCACCTTTTGCTTAGCTAAGGTATCTATGTTAGACTTCACATCAGGAATGCTTAATCACTCTTTAGAGATCCCTGCAAAGAATTAAGTGGAAAAAGTGCTTTGGGTGCTTTCTATTCTCTTTTGTAAACTTACAAATTTAGCACATTTTTCATCTTTTTAAAAGCTTCTTTTCCTGAGTTACTCCAGCCGAAGTTTCCAAAAGCTAAATTGTTTCATGTGAAATATTTAATATATTTTAAACTTGGTGCTATCTGAAGGTGGGAAATATTCCTTAAACAGTTTAGAAAAAAAACCCTTCATTTCCCAGTAAGGAAAAAGATTTAAGGAACTGCCATCACAGTCTGAGTTTTGATCTTCAATAACTGAACGTAATCTTCGAGGTGTTCTCATCTAATGTGAATCTACCTGATTTCAGAAAGGCTTTTTTTTCCCCCCACATTTGTCCAAACCATGCCAACACCTTCAAAGCATACAACAGGCAACATATGAGAAATGTTTTTT